TTGATATGCCACACCTGTGAGGTGGGATGGATTATCTCGGCAAAGGAGAAGTGCTCACTATCACAGATTTTTTCAGATTTGTGAAAAATATTTGAGAGAAATGGTTATTTTGTGTATATAGAAAATGTTTTAGATCTTTGAGTTCATCTCATGAAAAATGGGAGCAAAAACAAAAGTGATGCATTTATATTTTTGTTCAGTGTATATTATTATTACGATTAATTATAAGATATATTGTCATATTATAAATATATGTTTTTCCCAAAACACAGAAATTAACTCACCTTAAAAGTCATGCGTAGACTGAAACACTGGCACATCCTTATATATAATTATTGGTGCTCTTCCTCCCTATCTAAGGATCTACATAAACCAAAAATGCACAGGATCTTATCGGCTTCGCTCCGGTAAAAAAGGTAAAACATATAAGAAACATTTTAGGCCTCTGCATTGCTAAAACATGTCACAACTGCAACCTAATAAAAGGTTAATAGTATGGATTTTGTTAAAAAAAATAAATCACGAAGAGAATGACAATACGATAACATTAACAATATGTTATTCATATGTGTGTATATTTTAAACTATGTAATGACCTTTTTATGGAAAACTACACTATTGATTTTTATATGCTAGACCTTTTATATACTTTATGATTACTTACAATCATGGCCTTTTTCAAGATGACTTTACTTTGCAATTATCTTTTAGTTCTTTTTAAATACTATACTAGACTTGTATGACTTTATATCGCATCCATTCTATGAACTTGAAAAAAAGATTGTATATTACTTTCTATGGCATACTATTATATTTATTTTTTAATGACAAACTGTACCTGATGTTAGATCCGGTCCAGGACAGAAGGGGGCAGCAGAGGAGCGTTTGTAACTCAGGAATAATTATCTATATACATCCATAGGTTGGCTACAAGTGTGATGCAAACAATTACCATTAGGACAAATTATTTGTGATATGTTTCTTGCATCCCAATTACTTAAATTATGTTTTCTTTTTTGATGTACAATCTAAATAATATAACACATATTCTTATAATAATGAGGACACCAAGTAGATCTTCGGAATAACCTTTGGTCCTCCTCCTTATAATTAATGGGTCCATGTGTGTATGTCTGTATGAGTGACTGTGTGTGTATGTGTGTGTTTGTCGCGCCTCCCTCGAGACGCCGCAGTGACGTCAGCTGCAGTACCTCGTCCCTCCAGCAGCAGCGGGTCTCTCTCTTCATTCAGTCGGCTCTCCGAGTTAGTTAACGGATCTCACGGTTGTTATTATGTACCGCCGGGGCTTCTTTTTCACTTGTTTCTTTCCCTTGCCAGTCAGAAACGGACAAACGGTGTGTGGAAATGTCTCTACTTCTTTTTGTTCTGCTGAATAATCGTCTCAGTTTGGATTTTCTCTTGAAGAAAACAGATTTTATGGGAAGTATTAAACCCACCGGCGCTCTTTTGATTTTAACTTGTGTCGGAATGTAATAAGCTAACTTTTTGTTATATATATAACTCCAATTGTTTACCTAATGGATACCGTTACAAAGATAATATTGGAGTATTTGTTCACCTTTTTGTGATTTGATAAGGGTATTTCTTCGGAGGTGGAAGTGGACTATTCCTTTGGAAAAAAGTAAAGTTTTCATCACCTAGCTTGAGGCAAAGAATGCTATATTCTGGTCATTTTCCCAACAGTTACGGTCATTTTGTGTGGTTTACGTGAATTAAAAACCAGAATGATTTCGGAGGAAAGAAGCAGCCACGTAAATAAACAAGCCCTAAACTTCCCGGTGGGTTTACTCATCCGCTCTCCAAAGAAGCGACTGGCAAAACTGGGGAGGAAACCCAGCAATGGGTCTGTGCAGTAAGTCCTCATTTACCTTTAACAGCCCTGTAATTAGCATGCTGAAGAAGATATAAACACAGCCTGAGGAAACAGTACTGTGATGTTATGCTTTTATTATAAGTACAAATAGCAATACAAAAGGGTAATAAAATAGTATGGTGCATAAAAAGTAATGCATTTAATAGTGAGTAGTGCAAAAGTGTACATATTAAAAATATACTTAAAGTATTCATTATGCAGTATGGCCCCTTTCATAATCTATATTATATTCCTGGACTGAGATTATTAATGTTGCAGTTGTGTAGCTCATTTCAACTACTAATATAAGATTTAACTTTATTATCATCTACTTGATTTAAAACATTTTGTATTATTTATCTGCAAATGTAAAGTATCTAGTACTTAAGGCTGTCTGTAAAATGTAATGGATCTAATTGATATACTGACTAGTTGTTGCAGCTCTTGTCTGGATATAAATGAAGCCACTTCTAGACACACGTATAGGACTTATTACTCCATGTGTTTATTTAAGCCTTGCCACTAAACAGTGTTTGTTGTCTTCTATGTCCCCTGTTAGGTCCAACCAATCGGACACCACCGTCCGCTCCACAGAAAGCGTGTGTGTTCGGCAGCCGGCCAAGAGCAAAATCCGCCGCCACAACAACAACAGGCTTTCATCTGTTTTCAACCAAAGCCCCTGCAGTGGCCGCCGCGGCCAAGGCAGCGGGAGCCTTCAGTCTGCAGACGACCCTGCAGAGCTGTCCAGCCAAATGTCTGTCCCCGGCATCCTGAAGATATTCGGCAGCGACATCTGTCAAGGGACCCACTACAAGAGCGTGCTGGCCACCATACAGTCCAGTGCAAAGGAGCTGGTGAAGGAGGCCTTGGAGAGGTGAGAAGTTTCTCTAAAGTGCAGGGCATATTCTAAATCTGAGATAATGTATAAAATGCAAGAGAAGTTACACACAACAATAGTTGTAGTGAGGATCTGATATCTGGAAGTAGAACTGAAATAAGAACTATAGTTGCACACTGGCTCCATATTAATGTTAAGTTTTTGAACATTTGGTTGCGAAAACAAGCGCTTGACCCAATAAATGGTTTAATGTCCACCACAAAGCTAAGTCTTCCTGTCTAAAATTCAACCTGTTTCTGTTCAGGTACTGCCTGGAGAAAGAAGACCCCAGCGATTACGTGCTTTGCGATGTGATTGGACAGACGGGCGCAGACAACCAGTGGAAGAGGGAGTGTTTCCGGGTGGTGGGAGACAACGAGATGCCCCTGTTGCTGCAGTCGCTTTGGAAACCCAAGGAAGGCTTTTCCAGGCGTTTTGAAATCCAGCTGAGAGCGAGTGTCGAAGAGCAAAGTTTAAAGGAGAGAGACACAGTCACCGCAGGTAAACACTTGGTAGCTGTAGAGTTTATCTCTCGACTTCTGCAGGGACCAGAGATGCCTACTGACCTTAAGAAGCACACATCTCATTATGACTGTACCAAACAGTTGACATTGTTGACATTCAAGTTCTAAATCCCATTTGTTTGCATAAATATCCATTGTGTTTATATATCTAGTATATCTGCACAGTTGCATGTAAAAAATATGCTATACTAATATAATTACAAGACAGTATTTCTAGAATAAGATTCCAGTGGTTACTAGGTCTGCAAAAAACAATTATCTTCTCAATTCATCGTTTTGGTATTATTACTATTACATTTCAGAAATAGGGAAATCAAAGTCTTTAATTGTCTTGTTTTGTCACAAACCTTCAAATATTTAATTTAAATGATATACAATTCTACAGAGAAAATCAGTAAATTTCTGTATTTAAAACAGCATTTTAAGACATTTTCGCATTAACATTTACTTTAAGAAGTATTAAAACATATTTAATTCCACCTATTTATCCATTAGTCTACAAAATAATTTCAGCTGTTGTCTGAATCAATTTATAACATTATTAAGTGTGATGAAGAGACATTACAACAGTTTATCCCAAAACCTCAATAAAAGCTTCAAATGTAAAAGATGTAGTTCATACAGCCCTAATCCCACTATTTCAGGTACAATTCATCACCCTAAGTTCTTTACGCCTGGGTAATCAATCACTCAGTCTGTGTTGTGGTGGCATGGGGAGCCTTTATCCTTGTCTCTTATTGCAGGCTAACAGCCTTCATTATCCAGCTTATCACTGTCTAGAGCAGGGGAGATGGCAGGCATGTAAGAGAGGTCAGGAGGAAACCAAAGCTGCAGTGAGGGATACAGGAGCTCAGTGCGGCCCCGCTCTTATCTTTGTTTTATTGCAAGGGCCCATCAGGACCTTGTGAAACATCCAAGCACGGGCTCTTCCCACCGGAGCTGCCAGAAAGTAGCCACTCACCGCTGTGTTATTCTTCCTATCAAAGCGCACTTCCTGCACACTGGTGCTGAAGCTCTGTTGACTTTGGCACAAGTGGTTGACTCTGCGTTAGACCAATACACTGGCTTTTTAATCAGTGTTTTTCTTGGTTGGACTGCTGTTTTTCTCATTGCAGCTTTGTCAAAACAAGATATGGCTTTAAAACAATTTCTGTTGCATATTTAGCTTGTTCATTTTATAATTTTGAGACACAATTCTGCATTTAAACTACGCTTGGAGTGATAACACTGAATAAAAGCACAGTTATAGCATAGTAGCGGTGGAACTGTTTGAATACACAAACAGTTGCAGCCCTATTATATATTGAAATAAGGTGTTAGTTAGGGAGCTATAGAGGTTCTTGTGAGTGCATTGTGTTAACATTGGGAAAAGCCATAGCTGTTTCCAGTCTTTATACTTAGCAAGCTAGCTGGTGGCAGTCGCTTCATATTCATTGTGCAGATATGTGAGTGCTGTCAAACCTCTCAACTATCGATGTTAAAGAGAATTAGCTTGATTCCCAAACTGTTGAAATGTTCCTTTTAATAAATGTCATTATTGTTGTTTGAATGATTAGGGTTGGGAATTGCGAACAGGTTAAAATAGTTATATTATTAAGGAACCTTTAAGAAATGTATATTTTGATTCAGCTGCCTGACAGCCTTTACTCCCAACACGTATGTTTGCACCACTCAGAACTTGTGATTGGAAAAAATAATGAACAGATCGTTATTGAATTGTATTATTTAGTGTCCTATAAGGTCTTCAATCTGTTGAAATGGGTTTCTGTTCATGTGTTCTGAAATATAGACATTGGTCCTCCACGTCAAATCCGCTTTCGCTCCTTGATCAGGGCAATTTGCCCTTTACCTCTGCAGTCAGTGTGAGTGTTTTAGGCTCTGAGCCAGTGTGTCAGGCTGCTGCTGAACAATGTGGAAAACACCCACTTCCACAGCTGATAAGGGCGTCAGGGCTGCCGGGTGTGAAGCCAGAGCTCGGTGGACATTCCTCGGTGCTTAATGGCTCCAAATGAGCTGAATAGTGTTTGTGTTACGTCAGGCCGACAGAGCGACTGCTGGTATCAGATAGAGGCGGTCACATCTCGCTTTCCCCGCACATTTCCTCTCTTTCCCCCTGGTTATATGTCTATTTCAATTGGTGCCAGAGTTACTATGTTTTATTGACCAGTAAAACTTTTGGCGTTGTAAATGCTTTGCTTATGTATAAGCAACAACAAAACATATTTTGTCCATTTTCTTCTCTTGTTGGGTTTTCCTCCTTAATAATTTGATTGTGCATGGCTTTTGATGGTGATACATGGTTCTATACATTTTTTATTTAAATACTAACAAAATCAATTGTGTCAAATGTATAAAGCTTGTCTTACTTGAGAAAGGATACATATATGATTTTCCTAGTATATTCCCCCAAGTGTCCTACATGCAAAAGCAAGAAAGCAATGAGATATTCTTTCATATTTGAAAAACGTTCAGCAATAAGCACTTTAATTATCTCTAAATGTGGGTTTTTTAAATCGTAACTTTTGAAATGTGGAGAATTAGGGTAACCTATTGACTATCAAAGTTACACAGTATAGTATTGTGTATTTCCTTGACTCTAAGCCATGTCTCCCTGGGCTCTCCAGACATCAACTGTATTGTTATGATCATGCGGCAGTGTGTTTTTCATATTGTAAACAGTAACATGTACAATTTATATTTAACAATCTTTTTTTCTTGGCGATACAGGCATCAATGCTCAGGCCCGTAAGCTGCAGAAGAGCCGCTCCAGAGTGACCTCTCTGTTTGTGGACGGCAGCGGGGAAGATGTGGACGGACTGGGGATCTGGAGGAGTCTCAGCGAGATGGATCTGTCCGCCATGGGGAAGGAGGCCAGCCGGGCCCAGCAGAGTGCGCTCAGAGAGGACCCTGAGGCCGAGGCCGACAAGGAGGTGCTGCGGCTCGGCATGGAGAAGGAGGAGACTGAGAGCAGCGATGACAACACTACCCAGTACTCCATTCACCCACCTTTCGACTTCCCATACTTCCTTCTGCTGCTGGGCTACAGCCACAGACAGGTGAGGGAGGGAGGGAGGGGCTGCCCAATCATTTATTTGCTAATATGATAATGCGACATTTTAACCTTGATGAATAAATGCTAGATTAACGGTCAAAGCTCGGTGTTAGTTGGGCTGCAACTAAAGTTTCTATGGATGAAACCCTCCAATCATGATACTAATAGCAGTAATGTTTCTCAGAACTAAGACTGCATTTCCCATACATTCTTTGCGTCTGTTTTTACATTTTCTAAATGTATTTTTATATTCTGTCTTGACGACTCGCTGTATTGAGGTCAGTCAAGAGTCTCCTTGAGTCCTGGCAGTGTGTTGGGAGGCGGAGGCTAACACAGGCTTATATGAGACAACAAGGTGTAACAGGAACATGAGAGTGTTGGATTGAACGTCTTAGGTTAAGAACCTCAAGGAGAAAATCCCAGAGTCAGAGAGTCATGTGGTCACAAGAGGCCGGAGAGGAAGGAAAAACTGGATTGTGCTACAGTAGTGTTGTGGGAGGGAAACAGTGACCTCCTCCACACACTCAGGATGAGCTGTCTGTCATCATGTCCCAATGAAAGGACAAAGTGTTCACCATACAGTCAGAGAGATACATGCTCAGAATGTTTCAAACCTGGAGATAACCCTGAATAAAGACACACTGGAATGCAGGATAAACTACAAAGAAACTATTCTTTATCAAGGTTTCAAAGGGATAGTTTTGGTTTTATGAAGTGGGGTTATACTGTATGAGTTTACAATAGTAAGTGTCTAAGGACTGCAACCAGGGGCGGACTGTGAAGTCTTTCAAATACAATAACACAAACAAACTTACCGATCGAGTCAGCAGTAGAACGACAAAATAAAATGACTGTTTTTTAATTGAGATTTTTAGGTAGGGATATAGCAGGAGGTAACAGCCCTACCTTTACTGTACATTGCTGGCCCCAGGCCTCTCAGAGGTTAGTGGTGTTGCTGTATCATGTCATGACTAATTGTCTTAACCCTAACCCTGAGCTCGCGGACATCACCAGCGTCTCATTCTTAAGCTCTTCTTTTCCGGTCTCGCCTCTCGCTGCCAGTGCAGGATCATCACGCCGCCTTTCACACGCACACTGTTGGTACATTTCCAAAATGTTACACAAGAGACTCAATCCCTGCCTACACGCTGACTGTCATTGGGAAAGAGGTTTTGCATCAAGCATAGGGGATTAACTCCTATGCCTCCCTTTGACAATGTTGCTCTGATATCTTAAGATGTAACAGAAATCATGATTCTATGCCCACTTTTCATCAAACTGTGTTTCTTGCCGTCTCAAACAATGGGTCCGTTTTTCAGTATTTGATGGATTTCCTCTAATTGGACCATTCATCTTGAGTAGGAAGTTCCACCTTACTTTTTGCTGCAGGCTACTAACAATATTTTGACAAGATAACTACCGTATGTTTCACTTGGAAATTTTCTTCAGTTTAACGACCCAGCTAGAAAACCACAATGACATTTAAAGGAAAACACTTCATTACTATAGACATGGGAGCAGTTTGGGGTAAATGATCTTTGCCCAAGGACACTTCAGCCTGTTGACTCACATGCTAGTATGTTTTGCAAAACTTTGTGTTTCAATTTTACATTTTATTTTACGTTTTGTGGCCTTCCCAAAAACATTTGTCCCTGTTGCTCCAAATTCTCTCCATCATGGAAGATTAACATTTGATTATTTTCTCTTAAACTTAGGCTTGAAAAAATGTAAAATACATTTTTTCCAAGAAAATTCTCTCGATGGATGTGTTGTCCACATTATGCCAATCATTTTATGACATTTGTAAATAATGTATTATTTAAGTCATTCATCATTCAGGAAAAAAAAAAAAAAACATACCTGAAGACAGAAAGGTAGCTACAGCTTCTAGTTGTAAGGATTGGCTGCTTTTTTAAATCTAATTTAACAGTAAACTTCATATCTTTGGATTTGGACTGTCGATCTTACAAAACAAAACCTCTGCAGACAGAAAATAGAAAATTGTGTCAGCCTTCTTTTGACATTATGAAAACTAGAGCATGAATGGATGAATCAAGATAATAACAGGCAAATTAAAGCATAATTTTTGGTCGTGTTGTTGCCATGAATTAAACAGAAGCCTTATTTTGCAGGATTTCGTCATCTACCTGATGAGTGGCACCACCACCATCTTCGGCTGCTGCAGGGCGCACTGTAACGGAGAGGACGAGGAGAGGCTGAAGGTGGACATCCTTCTCTTTGCTCCTGACGTGTTGCCTCAGCACTGCTGCGTCAGACGCCTGGACTCTAACACAGGGGAGCACAGAAAGACTTCGACCATGCTGAAGCCTCTCCACGGAGCCCCTGTGACCAGAAACGGATTCCTCCTTAAAGAGGAGGTTGAACTAAACCCGGGGGACTTGGTGGGCTTGGGGAAACATTACCTATTCATGTTTAAGGATCCTACTAGCACATCAGGGTCGCTGCAGACGCCTCCGTGGATGACCAAACTCTGCCCGAATTCTCACACAAAGACATCCTCTTGCTTATCGTGCGGCTCCAATATGGCCATCAAAAGGCTGCAGAGGAGGTGTCTACCGCCTCGATGGAGGGACCTGGAGGGCACAGAAGCTGTGGTGGTCTATGAGCTGGAGCATGAGGAGAGAGTGCTGCAGGAGGTGTTGGATATGTTGGACCCCATAGGGAATGAACCAAAGCTGACGCCTGCTTTCCTGCTGAGCCTCTGCATTCAGTACTCAGCCTTCACCTTCCAGCCCACGCACTTCAGACAGCTGTTGCTCCGGATAGCCGGGCAGATCCAGCTCGTTATGTGGGTAAGGATGAAGCTCTTACCCCAGATTCTTTCATGTGTATTCAGCGTAGGGCTGGGAAATATTCCTTAAAGAAATCGCATCTATATTATATAAAGATAATGATAAATTATGCATTTTTTGTATATATTCGCACATAATCATACCAGTCATTCTTGTAAACTAATCTGAATTTTGATGGGAAACACAGTTCAAACATATATGACCTTTTAGATGGCTTTTAGTTTTGAAACTCCACATAAGAAGGTCATGATATTGACTGAGTGACACTCTGAGGTGGTTTGCTAATAAGAGCAATTAGTCTGTTGAAGTGTAATCGTTTTTATTACGTTTTAATTCAGTACCAAATCAATTCACGCCATTTATGATTTTTTCTAAAGTACAGTTTGCAGGCAGTAGTTCTTATTACTAGTCATGTATTATTCATTATTATATGATTGGGCGACTTTGGCTCTGAGGCAGTGCGGCCGTCTTTCAATTGGAGGATTGTGGGTTCGATCCCAGTCAACATGATGTATCCTTGGGCAAGATACTCAACCCCAAGTTGCTCCTGATGGCCAACTGTGTGTGAGAGTGTGTGAAGGTTAGCTTCCCTGAGCAGGTGGAACCTTGCATGGCAGCCTTTGTGTCTGGATTAATGGCTGTGAATGGGTGAATGATGATATTTATATATACGCATTGCCAAAGCTCTGTACAATTGCCACATCCATACACAAATACACATTTGAAACAATCTGCTAAATTCTGAACATAGGCAAGAACAACATGTTTTTTTTCTCGAGGGAACACAAGAAAGGAAAATGCAGGAAATTTATATAATTCATTAATAAGAAAATAATAATAATAATAATAAAAATAAAAAAAGACATGAGATGTGAGACCTGGTGTAGTCAGTCTGATTCCCTCATACTGTGGCAGGCATACAAACTGTCCTGTAAGAATGCAGCTTTCTTTATTTTGCCCCAGTAATATTTTGAGTTTTTGATTTTTTTTTTTCAAATAATTGAGGATGCTTACTATATCATTTTGAGAAGAATTGTTGACGTACAGGTTTAACTTGTTGGCATTGTGTGAGGAGCTGCTGCTCTGTTTCCACAGCAGTTCCTCCCCACTGTTGGCATACTCGCTCCCCTTTGGCAGCCATGTTATTTTATACCTGCTGCCTGTTTCTATGGCCAGGCTGTGAGCACATTGTTTTGCTATGTTTAACATCAGTCACTGTTGTCATTTTTCATTATCTAAAGACTCACTGAACAAATGTAAAATTACCGTTTTTAAACGCTCTAATAATAATGCCTGTTATACAACGTGGGGTTTTTTTGTTTTTTTAGAAGAGGAAGCTTGTATTTTCCATCAGTGTTTACAAACTCGACCCATATGAACTTACTTCGACACTTGACTCTTTTCTTTCTCAAGAAGTAAGTGCCAAAGCTAGTCTTTACCGGACAGCTGGAAGAAATCACTTGACATTTTGTACTAGCAGTACATTTACTACATCCCACGTAGAAAGAGCACCAATACATCAACAAAATGTAATAGATTACTCAATTCATATTAAGGATTATATTCCCCTATGAGTGGCAACGATTGTAAAGTAATCACGTATGCCATTAGGGTTGTATTTAATGAGTACGAGATTGTTGATTTTTGTTTGAATTTATATTTTCTTTATGTGTTCTCCCTCTTAGGAGAAGACAAAGGAACTTGCAGCGATCCAGCCAGAATCGTGAGTAAACGTATTGTTTTTCCAAAGATACATAACATTGCCGCCGAGAGAACAGCAGCTGATATACAACACTTCCAGTTTTCCTGTCTGAATAAAAGAGCTGTCAAAGTCTATTTTTAAAATGCCGGTTGTGAAAGGAGAGCATTTCCCACAGTCATATCTATAAAATAAAGAAATGTTTTTTAGCCTTTATTTATACAGGTGAAAATCTCATTGAGACACAGGGTCTCATTCCCAAGAGAGACCTGTTTATACCCAGAATCAGCACTTTTGTAACAGGAAGAGAAATAGAGGGATATGAGCCATGGCTAGAATGGGTGATCCAGTGGCGTAACAAGGTTGTGATTGGCCCTGGTGCAAATATTGTTTTGGCCAATGTTTTGCCCCCCCCCCCCATTGCCCCAAACATAAGCGCACGCTGATGCGCTCACACACACACGCACGGACCGACACAACCACTCATAAGTGCCACATGTAGGCTATCAAAAACAGCTTGCCCTGGGCTCAGACCACCACAGCCTGAACGGCACAGCGAACTAATCACACAATCACTTTACAGAATTAATTGAGATTTCGAGGACGATTTATGACAAAACATTTTTAATTTAATTTCGTCAGTTTAGCCGTCACATCTCCTTGTTCTCTCTTGTCCTTTCCCTTTTGAGCGCCGCTCTTGTGCTTTGGTTTGCAGTACATTATAAATACAAGCTATTCAATTTTTTATAATGTTCACTCGTCACGCAAGGTATCACATGACATGAAAGGGAGCGAGGTCATTGGACAGACAAATTACAAATGAATTGCATGGGCCCCTGGCCGGCTCTGGGCCCCGGTGCGTTGCACCGGCTGCACCGTCGATAGTTACGCCACTGGGGTGATCTGTTTTTTGACCAAAACACTTCATAGACATGTTTTTTATTTTTTTGTATATATCTGAGACCTATGCTATTGCCTAAAAATAGCATGATAGGTGACCTTTAAAGGAACTTCAAGTGAGGTTAACTGAGAGTCAAGTCCTGTTTCCCGGATATTTTTGTTTTACCTAAAAATATCTTACGATCTTAACTGTGTCATTATTTAAAAATAGGTTATGATTATAAAAATAGCAGGTTTCGATACTTAAATTCTGCAAAAAATGTAACACATACAGTATGACTCACTTAATTCTGTTGTAACAACAAACAACATCTACGCAAGTTATTGCTCATTTGATAAGTGAATCTTTTTTTTTAATGTTGTTTTTAAGTATTAAGTACCCATAGTAACCCAACATTTCTGCACATTTTCCAGATTAAAATATAACATTTGACACAAAACTAGTAAGACTTCACATGTATTATGTAAAAATAAGAGATGAATGCATGACTTTCCAGTTTTTCAGGTATATATTTTTGCGATAGGCATCATGATGATTATGTTTAAGTTATTATATTAATATATTATACTATAATTTAGTTTATGTTGTTGAAGATCTTTTCCTTTTTTATGTTAGTTTGCATTGCTGAAATGCTGAAATGATTGACAAATATTATGTAATGGTAACACTATGTATAGATTTCTTTGTCACAGTATGCATGGAAGCTTTATCTCGGTTCTGAACTCATAAATTCTGTGTTTTCCATCAGGAGCTCCAGTGACGGGCAGCCCGAGGACCTTCAGCTGCTCAGCACGGAAGAGCTGATCCCAGGTCTGCAGCCGCTGGTGCTTTGGATGGCCAACTCCATCGAGCTGCTGCACTTCATCCAGCGCGAAGTCCCTCAGCTGCTGCCCTGGAGGCAGGACCATGAGGAGGAAGGTGCGGTGACAGCATTGCCTTTAACTTTATTATCATCTGGTGATGTGGTTTTAAAATGTGTTTGTGTATGTTGTCAGGTCTGTTGGACTCTGAGATCTCCTCCACTCGGACAGCCTGTGAGGAGGCCATGACGGTCCTGGAGGAAGTAATCATGTTCACCTTCCAGCAGTCTGTCTACTATCTAACAAAGGTTTGCTACCACACATTAATTTACTACTTTACACTCAGGGCACACACACAGCACACACACACACACACACACACACACACACACACACACACACACACACACACACACACACACACACACACACACTCATATATAGGGCTAAATGATATGGGAAATAATATAATTTCAATTTTTGTAGTATAATACTGTGATTTATTTTAAGTTCCTTAAACACGCTTAAGTTCCTTTTTAATAATTTTTTAACTTAATTTATCTAGGAGTATTTGCCATTGCGATTAGGAAATCTATGTTGCAAGGGAGTCATGGCCAAGAGAGCAACATACATGAGTTTCACATTAAAGAGCATGCGACGGACGCCGAGAAAAAGCAAGTTGAAAACAAACAGCAAACTACATTTACATAAAAAAAAACATCAACAGCGATAAGACCAGCAGAAAATTCCACACTTATGAAATTGGCTGTGTTCAGTAACAGTAACAGTGTTCAGTATTCTTTCTTGCTTACAAGAAAATCCAATTAATCTCCCGTATTATTTACCATACACAAACAATACATTATCATTAAGTTATGACCACCACAACATTGGATACAGTTTTGGGAATTGAATACCTATGTTTTCTTACATTGCAAGTCGATTTGGACCCCTGTATGTTTCATTTCCTTTTGACCTGTTAAATCGGAGTGTAAATCACATGTGAAGCAGGAAATTGGACTGTGTAAACACCATTTACTGTTTTCATTGAGTATATTCCAGAAAGAAAACACAATATCAGAATGGAAACACCAACTTTGTTTGGCATTCTCAGTCAGGAAAGGCTATCTGAGATAGTGAGCACAATCTTGTCTCCCAAGGTTTCACTGGTTTGTTGAATAACAAAATCAGGCTGATTCAGTGAGAACCACTGTATCGGAATCGAAAGATGTATTTGTCTTGCAGTTCTATTATTATATTTAAATTAGGTCAAAATATTTATGATGAAAAAGTAGTTTACAGTGGATTTAAAAGAAAAATGAATAGGTAAATAATTGAAACAGACAAAACGGGGGGGGTGTACGTATGGTAACCCTAGTTATATAAGCACAGGCGGAGAGGCTCTACTGGACTCTATGGGTACAACTCTCTACCATGCTATGCGAGCATTCACATATTGAGTTGCATAAACGTAGCCGGCCAATCGGGGCGAGCCTACCTGAATGCGCGCGCAGTCCCCCAGTATATAAGGCGGCTACGCCTCCCGACTGTCATCCTACACCTACACCCTCTTCAGCGAGCGGCATAGGAAAGACAGGGCCCCCAGGTAGAGGGCTCCGCCTGTGCTTATATAACTAGGGTTACAATTAGTGATGGGGGGAAACGATTATTTTGAAAACGATTAATCGGGCGATTATTTGATCGATTAGTCGACTAATCTAACGATTATTTTTCTGTTGTTTTATTAATAAAAAACATAATGTATCTCAAATTAATACCAAAAAATTCTTAATAATATAGTTTTTTTTTTATTGCACAGCAAAATAAAAAAATATAGAATATAATTATACAAAATAAAAAGCCCAGCCTGTTTACTCTTACAGTCCAACAAAAAATCTCTTCTGTACAAAATTACAAAAGATAAAAAATGTAGTGCAAACACTGTGCCGTGCACAGTAGAGAAATGCATGACAACTGCGCACCAGCTTACGTGCAGCCCTGGCCTGGACATTGCTTGGCTCCGTTAGTTGACATAAATTGATACTATAAGCTGACCAACGTTAGTCTAATGTTTGTTTGACTCGTAAACGACCACAACATGAGTTAGCTCTCTGTGCAGTTTGTTCGTTCCGGGTTAGTAGCGGCTAGATAGCGGTGTTCTGCAGACGTAAACTAGCTACCATTCCAGCCAACATTAAATGCTGACAAACGTTAACTAACACACAGCTGGCGCCGCTAGCTAGGTAGCTAACATTAACTACTAACCAACCAAGCACGAACAAACCGCACGGAGAGCTATAAGATAGTTAGCACTACCGAAGTGCACAGAACTCAAGCTGTACAACACACTACACAAACGTGGAATTAATTTTGCCAAAGTTAGTACTTATTGTTCCCTCCACGAGAGACAAGGGGGTGCCTCCGCTTTAAATGCTCCAACATCTCTGTTGTGCTAGTGTGGTATGCCAACTCCATTTTTCAAAGACTGCAAATAACAATGCCTTTGCGTTTTGGACTAAATTTAAAGTATTCCCTTTTGAAGACCTAGGGCGAGATGTTTTTGTTTGGGGGCTTTTTGCAGGGCTTCGTGCGCAATCCTGTGAGGAGGAGGTGGTAGCCGTTTCAGTCTCCATAGTGTTTAAAGTGCGATTGCGAACTGCTTGTTGTTGTTTTGGGTGACCCACGTGTGTGTGGCGATGCGTCAACGAGGAAATATGTCGTCGACGATATTTTGAAGTCGACGCGGATGGAAAATAGTGAGGAAGGCTCTGTATGGAGTTTACTGCGCACCATGTTCCCAGAGTCCCTAAGGAGCATGGGAAAAACATAAGTGCACTATGTCCCAGGGGGAGGTCAGATACCTACTGACCCACAGCCCCCCCCCCCCCCTCTCACCAGTCATGTGTTGCCCCGGCAAGCACAGACGATGAGAAAGAGCCAGACATCTCCAAGAGATAAAACCTTATGAAGGGGCCTGGCGTAGACCAAGACGCCGCTGTGCATATGTCCTCCACGGCCCATCCAGGATTTGGGCCCGCTGTTTTAATCAGGGCTGAAGACAACATTTTAATTGTTTTATTATTAGGCCTATGTATATTGTTGTTATTTGTAGGGCTTTGTCCTAATATTTATTTTTGTTTTAAACTATGTTGAAAGATTGGTTTAATATCATTTTTTTATTTTGCTATGAAATTCTGAATGAAATTCTGAATGAAAGGCTGCTCGCGAGACTGGTTTTTGAGTGAGATGCGGCACAGCAGCCTGTCAGTTTACTCTTGCTAGATTAGTTTGGCTATTATCATTTATATTTATCTGCAACAATGGATATCAGGAAGTGGTTCACGAAAGGAATATGGCAACTCAGCGCCAGATGCAGGCACATTAGAAGAAATCAGTTACGTTACCAACGAGCTAGCAAGCCAGCCAGGGACAAGGGAGGCTGGCAATCAATTATATTTTGAAGAGAAATTGACTCTCAAGCCGGCTCTCTCACAAACTGCTCTGTGCGCAAGCAGACCGCTGCACACGCTCTCTGCCTCGCTCAATCTCCCTATCTCCCTTCCTCTCCATCGCTCAACCTCATTCCATCTCTCCACCCTGTGTGCGCTCCTCAAGTTTGCCTGCGTGCTTGCCCAAGTTGGCACAGCGTTACAAATGCGCCACAAAACCAACCAATGGATGTAGCCTATAATAAGCCCGTCAACAGCCTTATGGCAACCTAAAACCCCTCTCTTTCCGTAACAACAATCGCCCGTCCACACNCTAGCCAGTCTCCAGATCTCAACCCCATAGAAAATCTTTGGAGGGAGTTGAAAGTCCGTGTTGCCCAGCGACAGCCCCAAAACATCACTGCTCTAGAGGAGATCTGCATGGAGGAATGGGCCAAAGATACCAGCAACAGTGTGTGAAAACCTTGTGAAGACTTACAGAAAACCTTTGACCTCTGTCATTGCCAACAAAGGTTATATAACAAAGTATTGAGATTAACTTTTGTTATTGACCAAATACTTATTTTCCACCATAATTTGCAAATAAATTCTTTAAAAATCAGACAATGTGATTTTCGGGATTTTATTTCTCATTTTGTCTCTCATAGTTGAGGTATACCTAGGATGAAAGTTACAGGCCTCTCTCATCTTTTTAAGTGGGAGACACAATTGGTACAACTGGCGGCTGACTAACTACTTTTTGCCCCACTGTATAGTCGATATAAAACTGGCCGCTTCGGTTGGCAGGGAAACGGAGTTCAGGGGGAGTGGCTGTACCCGTAGGATAGAAAAGGGGGAAGTGACGTCTGACTCAGAGGTCGCGCGGCTGTGGAGAAGAATGTGTTTCATTCTGTTACTGAGTTTAGGCTAGTTAGCTAGCAGGTTTATTGTTTTGGGTGCAGTCACTTTTGCCTCCACTTGCTGTTCAAATAAATGTTGAAAGAAAAAGTAAATCTGTTCATATGGGTGTTGAGAGATGTATCCGTAGATTTAGTCCCTAATTTTGCTCTCAAAGTGCACCAGATTGATGCATTTAACCTGCCCACACCCCCTGTTAAATTCTCTCACCCACATTGAGGATGCTTCCTACGCCCATGTTTTATTCCATGTGTCAAGTCAGGCAAATTGGGTCCAGATGTTATTGCATCAATGATCTGTTAACATTAAAATCACTAAATATATGCTGTAACTATTTTCCTCTAGGCAACTCAAGGGCTCAGGTAATGTGATTACTATATGAATAATGGTCCAAAATAACATAAAATGCATAGGGTTTTGTAACATACTTTCATCGCCGGCCGGCCGATACATGCCGCGCATTAAGTGGGCCTGTCTGTCAATTAATCCCCGGGCCACTTTTTCCCCCCAGTCCGCCCCTGCTCACAATGTCATAAAGTTGAAGAAGCACAATTAGAGATTTAATTATTTCTTATTCAAAGCATTATCTGTTACTTGCCTACATTACCCACAATGCAACTTTGTTAATTGTTGCCAGGGCAGCTGTATTGTAAGGTCAACATTATAAGTGGCACATGTTAACCTCTTAAACTCAGAAAAAATCACTCTGACTAACACAAAGCATTTTCATCACGACTTTTATCCCCCGAATAATGAAAAGACAGAAGTATCAAAACATGTGTTGCCAGTAACAGATTGTCCTTCCCGCTGGAGTACTCGGAAATAATAATGTGTACCCTGCTCACAATGTCATAAAGTTGAAGAAGCACAATTAGAGATTTAATTATTTCTTATTCAAAGCATTATCTGTTACTCGTCTACATTACCCACAATGCAACTTTGTTAATTGTTGCCAGGGCTACAGCTGTATTGTAAGGTCAACATTATAAGTGACACATGTTAACCTCTTAAACTCAGAAAAACTCACTCTGACTAACACAAAGCATTTTCTTCACGACTTTTATCCCCCGAATAATGAAAAGACAGAAGTATCAAAACATGTGTTGCAATGAACAGATTGTCGTTCCCCTGGAGTACTTCAGAAACAGAGAGATATGGGGATCTTTGCAACAACATGGGTGCGAGCCTACGGGCTTTGAATCTCTAAATTCACAAGCTATAGAGAATGTTAAACAGCTGGCCAAGTTTAGAGGACACATTTAACACATATGTTGAAAAAACCTGACAAGGTCTGTGGTTAACACAAATCATTTAACATTTATTCTAAAGCATAACATATGCTTAGCGGTGCACCGTCCCCTTTTGCTTCTTATAGCTTATAGTCTTTCTGTTCAGTGTTGTTGACATGAGCCATATGACTTTGGTGTAGTTTGTTTATTCCTTTACGTTAACAGTCTTCTTAATTTGTTTTAATTATCCTGGGGCCTAAGATGGAGCCTTGGGGTTCACCACAGGAAGCACTTATAATTTATACTACTTACCATCAAAACTACAAAACGCTTACATAGACTTTGATTAAAACCTTTCAAAGACTAGAATTTCCTTGTAGTTATTGTCTTGATTTGCTTTGGTGACAGCCAGTGGTGCACCGTCCCCTTTTACAGCCCAACTGAACACTCCCAGGCTACATTTATGTGACTTTCCCATGTTAAAGAGGATAATAAAAGCCTGTCTGGTTCATGCAGAACCTTCAGTCAACATTACTGCAGCAGAGTCTTTAGAAACACCAACACCCTGTACACTGACTGTTTGAGAAAGGGAAGGAAGGAAGCAGGATATGTCTGTTCCCTTAATTTGAATACTCAGACATATTTACTGCTTTTTTAAGCAAAACAATAGCGTGGCAGTTCATGGCGCATTTTCTGAGACAGTTTTACAGTCCATCACGTTTTTTTTCTTCTCACTTTTAAGGATTGTTAATCAAGCTGTTTCTGCTTTGATAAGCTTTCAGAAATATTGCAAAGTGTTACTGTGTTTCTTGTTGTAAAGAAAAGGAGGATCTGATTCCGGCAGAGGACGTCAAACTGTCATCAGAGGAAGGGAGGGGGTCTTTCTGTTGATTTCCTGTGAAATGTGACTCAGCGTTCACAAGTATACATACATCTTACCACCACGTAGTTTTTTCTTCTGGTAAGGTATTCTTAAATATAAAATATGAATAAAACGTACGCAAAGGGCTTTCATGCAGATGGTAAAACAGCACACAAAAATAATGAATACACTAAAGAAAATGTCTAAACATCCAGAGGTTTTTTTAACAACTATTTAACAACCTTTTTTTTAAAAACAAAACAAGATGACAGATTTAACAGATCTCCGTGATAACACATCAGCCGCCTGGAGATTTGCAAAGCTTCAGCGATCTGTTCTCCAGGCATGGGGTTATTGGTGTCTTTATGGCCTCTTTCAGTTTGTCTGAGGTCATTATCTTCATGGTTTGAGAGTGAGAGTGTGTGTGATGTCATGCTGTGTGAAACAATGGCAGAACTGTTTTAGAAGAAAGGAGTAGTGATAAGAGCCGGATCTGTGTGAGCTCTGGCAATGAGGTGATACAGATGATCCTTCACCAATTGCAGTTTGCTGTCCTACATTTTTTTTTTAAAACCTTGGATATTCTTTGAATTTGAAAGTGGTATGATATTTAAAAAATTACATTTAGTTTAAAAAACTAAAACATTTGCCTTTCAAGAATCAGAAATGTTCTTTAAGACATTCAAGTGTCAAATGACTGAGAAACAAACTTTGTACACACATTTGGATCAACCTTATCAGACACTCCTTGGCTTTGAAAATGTATGACTTAATGAAAAATGCAAAGAGGAGGCCAAACTTCTTAGCATTGACTTAATTTGTTTCTTTTTAAATAAACATATTTCTTAAAATATAATGAGCAATGACAGAACACAAAGCAAAGTTTGCAGGAAAGCTCTTTGAATGCCTCTTTGATTCATTATGTTCAGTACTACACAAAAACAACATTATTTTCCCACTGACTTCCTTACACTCTACTTGATATAATCAGGAATTGTGTGAAAGTGATCTGTTTCACTGCTCTACTCCCATGGAGCATCAGCATTGGTTATCCAGTGTATTGTAGAGCATGCAGAGAGGTCAACTGTCTGCACCTCTCTCCACAGAGCATGTATTCAGCCTTGCCCGAGCTTCTGGATGGGAACCCGTTCTCAGAGAGCGGCCAGCTGCGAGTGCCTGATGGACTGGGCAGCATCCTGGAGGTGCTGAAGGAGGCGCTGAAGCTTCTCACAGCCTTCCAGGTCCATCCAGACATCTCGTTACAACTCTGTGCCTACCTGTTCTTCTTCATCAACGCATCGCTGTTCAACGCCCTCATGGAGAGAGGTGAGACTTCTGCTCACTTTCCCAGCATTAAGATACCTGTTTGACTGCTTTGGCTCTTGTTTTAAGTTTGGTTTGGACTGAAATAGCTCAACCACTAGAGGATTACTTACCGGAGAATTTAATAGAGGAATCATTTACTTTAGGGGATAATCCTACTTACTTTAATGATCCTCTGAATTTTCAGTTTGCGCCACAATGAGTTTAACATTTGTAGTTTCAAGTAATGTTTTTGATAACGACAGTATTAAATGGTTAATTCATGTTTTGTTCCGGATTAAATTGAATAATTGATCCTGATGTTTCATCTAGCACCTTTATCATATCAAAGTTTTCTATTTTATGACTGGTTAATGACACATTTTCTGCAAATCTGACGATATACTGTACCCATTGGACTCAGCTCTACGCTGGGTTTAGGGCTAATTTGCAAAATGTTAGAATTCGAACAAGTATATGCCTGTAATGGTTATTATATAGAAATATAGATAAAAGGTGTACAAATATGAAAATATAAACCTACAAAAAGTATTAGTTCATTTTAAATATGATCATTATTGACACGCACCATGCATTTATGTTGGTTTTTTATATTATTTATGAGAAATGTTATCTTGAGACTTTGCAATAGGTACATTTATTATTATGTTTTGTTCTTTTTTTTGCGTGTTTGTTATGTTGTTATGTTTGAATAAAGTGCATTTTGTAATAAAAAACATTTGAAAATCTTTCATTTCCAGCATTTTAGAATTAAGAACAGTTTTGCATTTCAACTGGCTAATAGCATAGATACTATTCTATAAGTGCTATTAAAACATATTTTTTAGCATATCGTACTTGGTTGAGCATAATTTAGGTTGCAAATCAATGTCATCTCTGATTTTAAACATGTTGTTTTTCAGGATCTGTCGCTGGGTTCTACCAGTGGTCCCGAGGGGTTCAGATCCGGGCCAACCTTGACCTGCTGATGGATTGGATTCAGGGCATCGGACTGGGAGATCTGGCAAATGAATTCTTCCAGAAGCTTTCTGCTGCTGTCAATCTGCTGGCCACACCCAAAGAAACCCTCCTGCAGGTCAGAGGACATCCGTTTCTCCTTTCCTGTTTTGTCTCCTTGTGGGTGTAGCCTCGAGGGTCAACTCATGTTTGCGTCAGCATGAATGATTTTATTGTCTTAAAAGTGTCAGTTAGTAATGTATGTGTATGTATGGGGTGCAACAGGTTTCATTCTGAACCTTCCCCTTGCTTAGATGTAGGTACTTCTCTTTTTTATAGCCTCTTATTTGCCCCAAACCATGGTAAAGGTTGTGGAAGCCTATTCATTGTTATAGTTGAGCTGATTTACATCGATCCGATTTGGGGAAATGGCCTTGAGGAACAAAGTAAATAGACATAAGTTATCACGACATGATTTCCTGGTGACAATAACGGTTTGGCCATCACTTATTCTACTTACAGTATAATCCTAAGGACCTGAGTATATCCTGTTAGCCAGAGTTTGTATGCATGCATGGATGTCACTGAACAGGCCTTCTTGCACAGACCAAAGTGCCTAAGGTGTACTGTAGGTGCAAGGAGACTATAAAGAGAGGCCACAGAAACTTAAGGAGACCACTCAGGGAATCTAAAGGACTATGATAAGGGGTATAAAACCCCCACAACTATAAAAAAAGCAGATAAGAACCTCAGACTGGAAATAACTGGAAAAATGCCATTACAATGAATCTACAAAGGGACAAACCAAAAAAACATCAACAAAGAGGCACATAAGGATCATGTAGAGACACAAAATGACTAATGACTGTTCAAATGTAAAACAATTTGGCCAGATATTCAATTTGGAGTCCATAGAAATCTTTTTAAAGAGGCCCTTTCATTTAAGTTTTCAGGTTTCACATTTGTATTTTATAATAATAATAATAATAATAATAATACATGGGATTTTTATAGTGCTTTTCCTAATGCTCAAAGACGCTAATATAATATTTAGTGTCTCTACATGTCTCCATGCTTTATTGTTCAAAAAGCTCTTTCTTTTTCTCACTGCCTGTGCTGCAGCTCCTCTTTTCACCCTCTGTCTGAAACCAGAGCCCAGTCTGCTCTGATTGGTTAGCAGGCCAGCTATTTTGTGATTGGTCAACTGCTTAGAGTCAAGTCCCGCCCCTTAGCCTATCACTAGACGTGTGTTGGAGTGCTAGCCAATAGAAGCGAGAGTGTTACACAGTGATGTCACTATGTTACAGAAGTAAATAAAGGAGTCAATTTTAGACGTTTCAGGCAGGGGGGAGTGTGTTGGAGGGAACACATTGATTTTAGCATTTTCATACGATTTACATGAATACAAACCTATATCACACACGACAGGAACAGGACAACCCCAAAAAGCATAATAGAGCCCCTGATCCGTGTCAGTGGGATTGACTTACTTTAAGTGTAGGAACTGGGTAATACAAGGCTCAGTTTTGCCCACCTGTTTCCACTATATGACTCGCAGTTGTACCAGCCTGAAACATCTCCGGGGCACAAACCAGCACCACCACCCCCCCCCCACACAGCTGTTGGAGGCTGTGTCTCATCTGTTCGTGGGATTGGAGGGTTGCTAGGAAGCTGGTGGCTTTATGTATCCCTGCCCTGGCATGAGGTCACTTTGTGGCTGCTGCAGCGGAGCACACACCCTCAGCATTTTCCATCTGGAGTAGTTCTGGGCTTTTAAAAAACTGAAGTGGCAGAGTTGTAAATTACACGCCAGGGATGTGGCGTCGCCTGTTTTGCCAGCAGTTATGGAGAACACAACATCTGAGGAGTTATTTTGAGTGGAAATAAAGCTGCCAGACATTAAATGTCAGACTATACAGACATTTTTAAATTTCTGCTGCTTTAATGAGCAGCATTTAAATGTCACCTATGCTGATCTCACTGTGGCATCTGTTATAGGAGGGCAACAAGATTTCACTTCTAGTTTCTATTGTGGCCCCAGCATGTCTGGGTAAAGTCCTGCTTCCTTCAATTCAATTGGAAACAGACTGAATGAACTACGTAATGTGTGTAATAATCACATGAACGCTGCTGGCCGGTGACTCACCTGTTGCCATGTCCTCCGGTTACTTTCTGTAGTTATCAGGCGGTCACATCATGTATTTCTCCAGTGTGTTATATTTCCTGATAAGAAACCTAAGACGCTGCTGAGAATGAGATGTGTTAATTATAATGCAGGAGTGCAGAGTGAACACAGGTATGCAGCTTTTAAGAAAAGCTGTAAAGATATGAAATGACTTCAAGTGCTTCTGTATTTACATGTGAGAAATATTTTCCCAAGAGATTTTGTTACCACAGAGACAAAGGCTATTTACTAGATCATATAATTGGTTTAAAATACTCCACATGCAAATGAGAGAGTAGCAATGACTCCGCTTCCTTATATGGAAACAAGCATGATGGGAAAATAGTTGTTGCTCCCTCACTGTCATCTCACAATAAGCCTTTGTGACTCGTTCTTTAAGCTTTAAACATCACTTTAAAATCTTTTGTTTTAGCTCTTGTGCCTCACTTTGAAAACGTTGCTCTAATTTACTAAGAGTACAGGACAGTCTGAGTATCAAAAACTTGTCATTAGTATTTTTCTACACTTTCACTAAGTTCAATCTTTTAAACAAACTTTAATCCTGATCATAACTATTAAACGGCATTATTTTTCTTAATGTCGACCTTTTAAATGTCAGTTTGTTTCGAATTTTGTTATGAATAAACCTGAAAAGAAAGGTTGACTTTCAATATATGAAATGTTAGGAAGACACCATTCTGATCCTTTTTAGGGCTGGAAACCAGGAAAAAACATGTATTTTCCCAGAAAATGACTCAATCTGGTGGAAAATGATTAAAATAGTTAGTTGAAACCATATGTGGTTTCTTGCTGAACTTTGATCAAACATTGCGGTTAAATTAGGTTCTAATTGGGATATTTGTTTTCCTCTGTCTAGCTGTCTGTATTTGGGCTACATACTTTATTTTAGACTTATTATAGGAGCTGATTTATTTGTTAAACTTTTACCCTTCTTAAATGTTATACTAAGATACTTCAACACTCCCAAAATGGTGAAGGTTAGAATAACTCTGCTTCTGTCTCTCAATGTTTTGCTTGTTGTTTCATGTCCCTCCAGGCGTCCTGGGCTTCTCTCCGGACAGAGTTCTCTGCCCTGAATGCTGCTCAGCTTCACCACACGCTGAGGGAGTACCACTCAGGTAAAGCCTGTCCTGCAGGATGGACCCCGACTCTGAACGATGCAGAGCTCGCCGTCAGGACCGGTGAGTGACCTAAACCATCCTAAAGATAATCCATATATTTAGTGACATAAAATATCATCTGCAAATATATTTGCTGGTTGTCACTTCCTCCCAAAAGGCCCGATCTCATGTTGTAATTAACTACAACTAATTATGATTAAAGTACCTTAACACTGACGCTTGTATGCACCTTTAAGCGGCAGCCTCCCTCTTAGTCTTTGTTTACAATAATCCTGTCAGTCTGTCTCCACCAATCAGCTCTCGCCCACGCTTTCCTCTCAAATCCGTCTTTCCGCCACGCTCTCACCTGCTTCCACCTATTAATTGATTCAGGTCGACTCCATCCTGCTTCGTAAAATAATAATACCCTCAATTGAACCAGCGTTAGTCCTAAACTTTATTTACCACTTTTAATTAGATGTTAAAAGGATATCTGGACGTCCTGAAGTGTGTCTTGTATGAGGTGCTTATCCGTAGCCTTACTTACAGTAGAGGGCAGTTGTGTGGACAAATAGACATGTGATTTTTGAAACAAAGTGTGCAGGGGAGCTGCAATACACATTTTAGACAGCTACAAAAATGACGAACTTGAAATAATAAATATTAATTTATGTGTATGCTATATTTAGAATATGTTCACTGCATCATCTTGCAGTCAGACAGCCCTTTCTGATGGGGAACTGAATCAGTAATCTGTGTTCTCTTCAAAGTGAAGCCCTACACCAGACTCCATTGACAATAACAATCATTCTCATCAGTTAAATCTGCTTCAAGTGGTTCATTTTTTCTCAATGGACCGTGTGGCCTTAAGAGGGCATAGAACAGCTTCATCTCTCTAGGTAATAGAAAAACAATCCAAGTACCCTTTTAACCCAACACAGCAGCTTTACTTGAAAGTTTAAGGTTTGAATTTCATTAGAAGGCTGTTATGAAGCTTGGGGTCAATGGTGACGGCTGACCTTCTCTCCGTCTGCAGCCGACATCCTGGAGAGCTTCGACAGCCACCCGCCGCTCATCCTGCCCAGCAGCACGTTTCATCTGGAGCTTGGTAAACCCGTGGTGGAGCCCGCTCTGTTCGAGCAGCTCGGCCATCTGCAGGAGTTCATCCGCCGACTCCCCCGCAGTGAAATCCAAGTCGAGCCCGATGTGGAGGAACAGGTAACAAGCTCTCTGACCTCGGAGCAGGAAACGAGACACCTTCATGTTTCAACATCTGTTATTGATGGACTTAATGTTCCTCAGGCAACCCCAGACAGCCAGTCTACGACCTCGCCCTCCGTCACAGTATTCCAGGACCCTGCCCATCAGGAGGTGTCTGACCAGGTTGCCAGCTCGGACCTTGCCTCCCCTGCAGAGCCGTCTCAGGCCCAAGGATCTCACGGTGACCTGAGGAGCTGTGAAGCGGTCCTGACCCAGAAGCTGAAGAGCCTAGAGCTGCAGAACACCTTTCAGGGAGGACAAGTGGACATGGGCTACCACAAGAGCCTGGCACTGGACCCGTCCTGCCTGCTGACCCCACCCAACACCCCCCAGGGCATGGAGCTGTCCGAGCTGGAGGCTAATCTGCGGGAGGGGGCACTCCAACAAAAGAAAGGTAACTTAGGGGCAGAAGAATAAAGATCTGCACACTTCCTGAAAGATCACTGTATCTTATTCAACAAAGAGAAACCTACTAATCTATTGAAGACCTTTGTCTGGCATTGTCAAGTAAACACCATAGAAAATGGGGCATGAATGAACTTATTATAGCAAATAGGGAAATAAACCAAATAAATAATAACACTAGAGACTTTATTTGCGATGGCATCAAGCCAGGGGTCTATGCTAGACACTTGTTTACGTAGTGGAGAAATACTTTATTAACCAATCAATTTACATGTCACATACATATGTGTTCATAAAAATGAAACTGCCTTTAGCAGATTATTGATGAATGATGACCAGGACTAATTGAGCTATATTCGAATTTCAATCATTTGCAATCCTCTAGTCATTTTAAACCTTACATAATAAAAAACTAAAGCAAATTCAGGTATTTATTAGCATGCAAGATCATTGATTTTGACCATGGTGTACCATATCAATGGGGGATCAACCAGTGTGAATGTTAGTCTGGAGCGCTGCTTGAAAAGATTATTTCAACCACAAACAGCTGGAAAACATTAGCTGAAACCTGGCAACAGAAGATAATACCTGAGTGAGTGTGCACATGCAAAGAAAACTACGAGACAAACATTAAACCACAAAGCCAATTATTTTCCCTGTGTCTTCTATTATAGCACTTCTTAATTATTATCCATTTTCCCCATCAATGAATTCATAATGTTTTATATCAAACGTCAGCGATTTGTGGAGAATCACAATGTTCCAGGTGGCTTTATTATCAAATACAATACATACATTTTTCACAAGTAAAACAGGATTTCTTTTTTACACCTGACAATCTGGATCCATTCAAGGTTTTAGCCCTGCGTTAATGTTTTCTTTTAAAGGCTCAAACAGCTGGCAAACATTAACTGAAACCTGGCAACAGAAGATAATAACTGAGCAAGCGTACACGTACAGTACAGAGAAACCATGAAACAAAGAGTAACGGAGAAACCGACAGCTTCTCAAAAGGCTCATTCATGGCTTCACTTACACAGCAGGTTTTGATTCAGGTGACACACAGCTTTGTCACTGAGAACGCGTCCGCCTCAATTCAAATCCTGTACCGTTACTGACGCCCACAATGAGGTCACCTCTTAAACGCGCTTCAACCTCCGCTGACTCGACCTATTAAGGGAACTTTTTAGTGACTTGACCTTCAGGGACCTGCTGCATATTTGCTCCAAGTTCTCATAAAGGTATTTCACATAAAAGAGGTGCAGCGCCTTCATCTTCTCACTGACTGTGGGGGTCAGGAATTTCAAGTGGAAGGCTTTGCAGGGCGGGCCACTCTGCAGAGGAAAGAGTGTTTCCTCTCCCACCTCTATTGTTTTTAGACGCCTCCATCATGAGGTCATCCGTAGGAGGGAGAGGGAGTCATAGTGAGAGCGGACTACTTTACTTTTTGTTTAACCAAATGATACTGCAGATATTTGGACGTATCTGTGGAAACAAAGGGGAAAAGTTATCACAGCTTTCTCATTAGAGGAATACTTACACCCCCCTAAAACAATTGCTTTCATATAAATAACTCAACCCTCGTTACCTTGAATTATTGGCGTGCAACCCTGCATGGTGAAAGAATAATAAAACAAACTGAGAAAAAACGATACAAATTCAAGTAAATGCGGCCCGTGCTTAACAACCGCATAACTAAACCAAGACAAGGGAACATGTGCTGAGCATACAACTGAAAAAAGACAATTGGATTATAGTGAATAAGTGCTGTGAGGTTGTAAAATAATATTTTTGTATATTTATTGTGGTTGACAGCTTTTCAAATAGTTTTGATCCATTCTGAGATGGGAGATAAATGTGAGATAAAAACAAGTGACACAGAGTGAGTCATTGATATGCTAATAGTAATTTTGTGGTAGGTGCCGGAATTACCTCCTTTAACATATTTTGTCTGTTTAAACAGTAAAAAACACTTCCATGAGGCGGTTCTCAGCAGACTGATCACAGTCAGTGAACTTCACATTTCAAAATAATGTCAATTTAGTATTTAATTGATTTTATCTGAATAAATGAAATGGGTAAATTATACTACCAACATCTGTGAAAATCAAGTAAAACCACAACATTCACACTGTGTATGTGCAAGTTGGCCCTCCAGGGAAAAACCAAATCAATAAGGAAAAGAGTAAGGAAAACATTTTATAAAAATAACATTATATATAAAAAAAAAAGAATAAAAACATACAGAAAAAATAGAGCACTTGATACGCAAAAATGTATACACATATATTGCCAAAAAGTACACAGATTGTTATTTAATATATATAAATCATATTTATGTTCTTATTATTTTACTTCTTTTTTTTATGACACCCCTAGGTCAATACAAATGAGTACCAATCAAGCAGCATCCAGGGTCAAAGTTGAAATAATTTGAACCCTGAGCGCAGTGCTCTGCGACAATTTTGCATGACGTTGAATAGAGCTCTCCTGTTTCCATAGAAACACTGCCAGCGCCCAGTGATTTCACCCTTAATCATGTGTAGACAGCTTAAGCATCAACAAGCTGATTTCTTAATGAACTTATCTTAATTGTAGTGCGGTGTACACAGCAGAAAGGAGGCTCTTTCTAACAAGGCAGGTTGTACCAGAAGCTCTCTCAGATCCTAATGAGACCTTCTGAAACCTTTTTGGTCACATGTGAGCGTGTTGGTGTTTAAGAGTTGGCCTCCCTCACAGAGCTCCCACTGTGGCAGAAAGGCTTTAAAGCTGGAGGATTTTGTTGATCCTGATCAGGTGGCTTTACTCTCATTGGTTACTTGTTGCATTACGTTTTCTCTGTTCGTGCCTTTCATAAAAGTCATTTGTTGAAAGGGTTTGAGGATTACATTGGAACAAAGCCATCTGGCTCTAATCTCTGGTCATCTGTCCTAATTGGCACTATATTTAAGAGTTGCATACAACCTGCACACCTACAATGTATGTAGTGGTGCAATGATTATGGAGTTGGTGTTAGAAATTGCATCTTTTCTGATTTATATCATTTTTTATTTCATATAATATTTATTTAGGTTAAGGATTTATTAAGATTATTCACTAATCAGCTAAATAATCAGTACATCAAAAATATAATAGGTTATATTTACAATAAAAAAGACAAATTAATACATAATAATAAGTTAACAATGAATGAATTCAATATTTAATTTAAAATATTATAAAATACATAATTAATGATTGTATAGATTTGTTCTAGTATCTATATGATATCATAATAAATATAATAATTATGATATATATTTTAATTTCTTTCATGTTCCAGACTTTTGCAGTATTTGACCTTTATTTCTCCCCTCTTAATATGCAGATTGTCTGCACACAACTTGGCACTTACTTGATTCTGATTGTGAAATAGTTAGTAGTTACTTGGTTAGTCAGTCAGGAATATTGAACCAGTTCAAAACACTGTAGAAAAACACAGGTACTTTCTTTACTTTTCCAACCAGCGTTTAGTTTATATTCACTACTGCCTACTGAGTACAAATAAATGTTATACCTGTAATATATATTTATTCTTTATTTTATACATTCTCATGAGAAGTGTCTCAACCTGTAGTTTTAAGTTAGTTTTCCAGGTAAATCAGCCGTTGATGTAAATCAGGGTTCTTACGGTCATTAAAAACCTGGAAAAGTCATGGAAATTCAAAATGCTAATTCCAGGCCCTGGAAAAGTTATGGAAAACAATATTTTTCCCAAGGTTTTGGAAAAGCCATGGAAATATAACCAAAATTGCATGAAATATAATTTATATTTTATCTAATCGCCGAAATGGTAACACTATAATGATAATACATACTGTATCGTATAGTAATGAAACGTAAAATGGCATTTAGCTGTCGAGGTATTTTGCTGGTGAGAGATTTGAGTTGCTTTAGCCTGAAGCTAGTAAGCCAACTATTGTATTTGTTGTAGATAGGCACAACATGTTTCATATGCAGACCTTATTTTCCTGTTCCATGTTAAAATAAATCATTTTCAGTGGTCCCGCTGAGAGAGTAATTTCTTTGGTCATGGAAAATTAGATAAAGGTCATGGAGAAGTCATTGAAAATCATTGATGAAAAAGTGTATGAACCCTGGTAAATGACTCTGTGATGATTGGATGGTGATATGATGGCCTTTGTTCTCACCCTGATGCATTTCCTCCCGCCATGGGGATCCGTACCTTGGCCTCCAGTGTTTTATCTACCTCTGTGTTTTTTTTGTGGCTAACAACTAATGATGTTTTGAAAGTTTGCTAATCCTTTAATCTAGCCCCAAGAATTACAGAGAGGTGGTGATGTCAGGAGAGAAAAGAGCAGTGGCCGATCCGTCATGGGAATTTACAGTTGAGTTGGTGCGTGGAATCTTAATCTGTGGCGGCATTGTTCGGGGGTTAGGGTCCTGCGTGGGGGGCAGACTGGCCGCATGTTGGAGGGAGGTGGGGGAGGTAGGGCAGGAGGAGCAGGGGTGGGAACAGGTCTTCTTTTTTTGGGAGGAATGCTACTGTTGCTGTGTTGTTTTGACGGTAGGAAACACATGAGGGAGACAGGCTCCTGTTAGCAGCATGCTAACAAGTCGGATATCAAACAGATCAGGAGATAATTTCAAAGTGGAAAGACTTTATCTCGTGTTCACCAAAGCTGTGTTCACTGCCTGCAGAACAAGGTTATGAACAATTATGTTTAGTGGGCTTTTCGGACACCGCTAGTACTACAAGTTTAACCGATTGGGGTCTCATAGGAATACTGTTTCTTATATGCATTTCATTATGCGCTTGCTAGTCTGCCAACTTCGCCGTATGTTGGCTTCATAGACGTGATCACATTGAAATGTAAGGTTACTTATTGAACTTTTGCAAAAGCTTCATGTACAGAACAACTTCTATTTTTGATCATGTCGTTTTAGATGAATGGAGTGACATTCACTTCCAATTCACTGTCCCCACATTTTGATGTGAGCATTTGTTTATCTGTTTGTGTCTTCAGCCAATAGATGTGCTGAGAGGAAGACGGAGAATTTAGAAGAAGACGAAGGAGAAAGAGAGGAAGTGTTCACGGTGGAGCTTCACAGAGGTCCTCACGGCCTCGGTCTGGCGCTCGTAGATGGGACGGTACGCTAACGTCCTCCTCTTGTTCTCTCTTTCAGAATGTGACTTTATTCAAAATGAACAGTAGTGTAGAGATGACCACACTCTTATTAGGATTGGTTCACATCGGCAGCCTTGTGGGCTTTCAAGAAATGTTGTGCAGCTGCTAATGAGATCAGACCGTAAACTGAAGGGATTTTGACCACAAGCCTAATCTTACTAAAAGTTCTTACTTATTGAAGTGGGGGGCTAAAGCAACGTAATGAAAAAGAGCTGTAATACATTATGTTTTAAACCCAGACTCATTAGTGCCAAGTTATAATAAGAAACAGCATAACGATAAACCTTTTTTCACATAAATAACACCGATATTTGTTCTCTGTTCTTCTTTTTTTAATTGGCTGACAAAGGTTTTACAGTTACGAATAAAGTACTTAACCTTAACCTCACACCTGTTTTGAAAATTATAAATCACAACCGAGTCAAATGCTTATTGAAAATAAACAAACAAGCAAAAAAAGAACTGACCAAAAATACCCGTTTCATTTTCAAAAACATTTCTATTGATTTTAATCATCAATTTTAATTAATTGCATTACAAATTAAAACAAATAATATAGGAGGAAGTCAGAGTATGATTATTTTTCACGACATTCCTTCCAATAGTTGTTCAGATATTACAGTCCTGCAAAGAGACTAAAAAAAGAAATATTTCAGCAGACACACACACACACACACACACACACACACACACACACACACACACACACACACACACACACACACACACACACACACACACATTGGCTGCTACTTGTCACCCTAAATGTTACCAACCTTGACTCCACCTGTTTTATGTTTTTGCAGAAAACACAGCTGAGAATGAGCGGCATCTATGTGAAGTCGGTGGTGCCGGACTCTCCTGCTGCTCGCTGTCAGAAACTGAGGACGGGCGATCGCATCCTGGCTGTGAACGGCATCAGCGTGGTGGGGATGGAGTACAACCTGTAAGCATTACAGAACCATGTGCTTCATAAAGGACATTTCTGACCAGGGTGTTATGGTTTTAACAAAACAAAAATGCCCTAGTAACTGTTGATCACACAGCCATAAAAGCATACAATTCAATATTCACATGTTTGGTTTCAACTGATTTATTTTTAGCAGATTGAGCCATATTCTAACGTTTGCCCAAGGACATTTCCTGGTTATCTAAACAATAAATAAAATGCATAAAAAGAAATGTGGTTGCGAATGATTGACATATCAATACTATAGAAAATTAATCCCCCTAACATTTAATACACATCAAATAAAACAATGTCAGGCTTTTGTTTTGTTTGTTTCAACCAAATAGAAAATTCTATTGGTCTATATTGGTAAAAAGTCAGGACTGATGATATAGTTAAAGTGTTACCTCAGTAAAGAAGGTGGAAAGCATAAATATGAATAAATAGTATTTATTTGAGCAGTTTTTGGAGAGAGGGGCCTTTGTCCTTAAAGTAAAAGAAAATGTTCTTGGTGTATAAGGGGTAAAGTTTGAAGTGACATTTAATGCAGATATTTTTGTCCTTTATGAAAATCAGAGCTACTTTTTAAAGTGACGCATAGGGTTTAAAGTAGACACATATCTGCAGATATTAGGCTGACCTGTCCTCTCTGTACCTGCTTGTTTACATCGTGTTTGTTCTCATTTCAGTGGTAGAGAACTGATCCGATCATCAGGAGAATCTCTCAGACTGCTGGTGGCCAAAATCGACTCAAAGACCAGCGACAAGTGCTCGATTACGACTAAATGCTGAGGGGAGAGCTTTGTGTGGACGATCAAGTGCAATTTAAAATACTCTGAGGATGTTTGCTTCATCCTTCCTGCTAATCCAAAGCCAGTCATTATCTCAGAAAGGACAAACTCACGTCTCATTCCAGACGTATTGTGTGTTATAGAGCTTTGTTTCTGTGCGTTGAGACAATCAGAATGAGGGCACGGTCACGTTTTCATTTTGCTGCCACAGCTTCTGTCCGGCCTATAAACAGCTCTCATAAACCGCGAGGGAAGTAGCTGCCTGTGGCTGTTTGCTAACATCTCATTTCACTGTCTGAGTTCACAGTTTTCTGTCTGGGGAGCTTCATCAAGCTGCTCCAGGATCAAACATCTGGCAACAACTGGAATTATTCTGAAATGAATCTTTTTCAAAACTGTGAAACTGTGTATTTTACTCTGGAAAACAACTCCTATTAGTTCATTTGTTTTGGAGTCATAAAATCATATTTATTCACAGGTGGACATCAAATATATTTTCTTGTCTTTTCCAGAACATTCCCAAAACAAGGAAAACAACACTAAGATCAAGCAGATTCATCTCAATTTAGGAAATGTTTTTCTTGTTTTGAGTAAAAAACGCAATAAATATATAGGACTATCTTTGCATTCTAGCATTTTGGTCGTTTTTATTGTGGTCTTAATGTCATCCCACAGATTCTCCTGCTGTGAAATATCCACTTTTATATCGCCTGAAAGATGAAAAGCAAAGCAGGACAAGTGACGGATGACTACAAACATCCAGGATTAAGGGTCATTGGATAATTCTCAACCTGAGCCCTATTTCCCCCTGTTATGTTCCCCATTTTAAAGAAAGGGTATTCATCTACACACACTAATATGTTTTTATATTGAAATAAAACAGTCCCTTAATTGCTGACAGTTTGATGAGACCGTTCCTTTAAATCCATATTGTAGGATGTTTGGGCCCAAATCATAAAACTTAATGTTTTTTTCAGTTGACATGAAAAACATCAGCGGATCAAGTTTAATAATGTTTACCACTGTAGAACGACAAACTGCTGCAGCCCTCATCGGAAGTCTGTCCATGATATCATCCCAAATGTTGTCAATTAAAGTTTATTGGCACACAGTATTATTCACAGTATTTTTGTAATATTTATGTCGCAGTATTTTTTAAACTAATGAATAAATATTATTTTGATTTTTAAAACCTTTAACTTCTGGTTATATTGTCTTTGTGTGTACTCCTTAAAGGAAAATGTTGGATGTTTTAAAGTTGGGTTGCATGAGATACTTCAGATTCAATATCCATAGTCGGTATATTACCTACAGTTGACTTTAGGGGTCCTATAATACTCCTGTTCAGGTTCATATTTTTATGTTGTGCCACTACTCTGACATGCTTCAATGCTTTAATGTTCAAAAAAGTATTTTCTCATCTGGCCGGGTCTGTTCAATCAATCAATCAATCAATCAATGTTTATTTATATAGCCCAATATCACAAATGTTACATTTGTCTCAGTGGACTTCACAGTTTGTACAGAATATCAGTATGACAATACGACACCCTCTTTCCTTAGACCCTCACATCGTACAAGGAAAAACTTCCAGAGAAAGCCCCACAGTTTAAAGGGAAAAATGGGAGAAACCTCAGGGAGAGCAACAGAGGAGGGATCCCTCTCCCAGGACGGACAGACGTGCAATAGATGCCGTGTGTAAATCGAAAAGATAATACATTTACAACATAGGTAGACCAAATGTTTGGAAAGACCAAATGTTTGGAAATGCATGTGTCTATAATAAGAAGATGAATCCACGAGGATGTCAGCAATCTTGTGGGAGCCATCAGGGAAGTAGTATGGTGAGAGTCAGGCAGGACCGCAGAGACAGGTTCAGCCACGACTCGAAGTCCATACTACTTCCCTGATGGCTCCCACAAGATTGCTGACATCCTCGTGGATNTAAGCTCACTGCTGGTGAAGACCTACAGTTCTACCTCACCTCTTTCATGCGAGGTAGTTTCTTTTTCTCTATTTTTCCGACTTGTCACTTTCTTTCTTACAATTTTTTTTCTTTATGCGGCTTTTGGCAAGGGAAGAAGACGTATGGTCTTCCCCTGTTGCACCTCTTTCACTGCTCTTTCCAACTCCTCAAGAGGAGTTGAAACCCTGTCTGTCTTCCTTTTGTATTTGCGTGGCATGATGGATTTTGGTCTAAAATTAAGAATGTCACATAGTTTTAGTGATCAAATGTAAGAATACAATGTACAATAACAATAAAATACAATAAAGTAATATATAGTACATAATCATAAGTTTGGGCCCTTTGGCACAAATTACCCCAAGCCCACCATTTTGAAAAAAATGCATCCCCCAGCTGTTTTGAGCTAGCATCATGCTAACTGTATAGACTCATGGTGTAGCTTACTAAAGCACTAAAACATGTGTGAACTGTTTTCAAAGTTCTCTAAATTGTTCAAACACAGCAATCAAAAAACCTTGATCATAGAAATTTTACTTTGGAGGGCAAAAAAATGTTTTTTGAACTTAAATGTGCTTACCTCTCAAGCCATGTGTCTCTCTTCTTTGCAGGATGATTGAAATGGATGCCTCTTCAAAAATATGTGGTCACATGACCAACTTCTTCTATGGTTTTCTAGATAACAGGGGTGGCACTACTTGCCCCTTGGCACAAATTACCCCACCCTCCCTACTGAAAAACCAAAAGTAAAAGTATTCATTAAGCAGATTGGTCCATTTCAGAATAATATATATGAAATGCTTTGATTATAATTATTGATAAATGAATATGTTTATCAGGGCAGGTTGTATACATATTTTATTGAAAATGAAGTATCTCTTCATTGAAAAGTGTTTTTCAATGGCTTCCATGTCATATGACCAAGTGAGTATTTCAGAACACTGGACGAGTAAGACAAACCTCTTTAGATTTTTTTAAAGAGCCAATCAATGCAGCATTGCAATACTATGCTGGTCTAGTAGAACACACATATTTAAATGGATCTTAGTATTGTTTTCAATTTGATATGATTTTTGTATTAGTGATAAACTATTTTTAAAATGTCAGATACTAGGCAACTGAAAGCACTTGAAATTTCAAATGAGAACAGTATTTTTTTCCATGTTGGAGCTTTCACTCAAGGAAATGAAAACATGTTCCAGCGTGCATCATGCGCTCTCTGACTCAGAGGCATCCTGACTGTTTCTCCTCCAAGTCACTCTTTCCTTGTCTCCGTCTCCAAACGGGATTTCCTGTCTGTATCTCAGGGAGGGGGCCGGATCCCAGGACCAGCACGCCCTCCCCCCCCTCCCCCAGCTTCCAGCGCTGGGCTGGGGGGGACAGCAGTGAGTAGTTCAATCACTTTCCTAATGTGTGAATCTGTTTCCTGCCTTCATTGTCTAAGATGAACAGGAAGGACAGACAACCATTACGGATGTTCTTCCCGCACGTTGTCACTCTGAGGCCTGGTTTTAGACTTTTAGTCTGGATTTTATGTGGTGTTTTACAATTTATACTTATTTTTTTGTTATTATTTATTTTATTGTATTTTGTAACCATCACACAATCAAATGCTAGGCCAAGAAAGGAAATGATGTATATTTTGCATTTGACTTTAGCTTCCCAAGTTTTAATTGACCACCTTTTGACCACCTTTATTCTCTCAATGCATCTTTCAGGTAGCCACCCAAAGACATATGACCTTTGACCTTTGTGTAGCACCTGCATGTGCAGTGGTGAGTGTTTCTCTGTACTCCACAAACAAAACCTATGTTTTTACTCGTGACGTGAGCTATGCAAGCCAATATCAAATATACTCATCACAAATGTCAGTTTCTTTTCAGTTATTTGTTGGGTATATTGGAGTAAAATAAACTCTAAACAGTTTCTACAGTATCTCATGTTGTCAAGTTATTTTTCAACATCAAAACGGACCTTCATGTAGGACCTGAACCAGTCACATTTCATTCTGAGCTTCTAGCAGTAAATCACATTGATCACCTCCTTGTGTGTGTGTAGCCTAATTTTACTCACGCACTGTGTATTACCCAGGGCAACACTTGTCAGGGTTTGTCAGGAAGTTGGACCCAGGAGCATTCAAAAGTAAGATGGCAGGCAGAGTTAACTTTTAAATTTAAAAGCAAATTCTTATTTACAAAAGCTGATACAAAGAAACACTGAACATGGTAGGGGGGGGTGGGGGGGGGGCAGGCGAGGTGAACACTATCAGGAACAGGCGGGAAAACACCAAGACAGGAAGTAAGACAAGACCAAAGGGAAAACTGATTTCAAAAATAAAACAGGAAACGTAGAGTACAAAAACAAAGATCATGACAACTCTAGGGAGATAGGTTTCTGTTTCTTTTTTTATTATCATTTTGGCTGTGTTTATATATAATATGCCATAAAACCTTTTTCCTTTTTATGCCATGGCCATTACAACATAGAATCAAAAAAGTGTATATTATATCAGGCTTTCAATCTAGAGCTATTCCTTCAAAGTTCTGCATTTCACTACCTTCCATGATCGGATAAAGCCAATATCTCATATATATTATAAATGGCTTTTAAAATGGGTGTATAAGTGCATAGTAGCAATAAAAGAGCTCATATGAGTACTTGAGTGAATGAGTAACGGTATTTAACGTTAGCATCATTCCAGACCTGAGCATTAGAATCCTGCAGGGTGAACATACACTCTTAAAATATGTTTTGTGTTAGAAAGCTGCTGGGGAGCCTCACGCTCAGCACCTTGTTTTAATTACTTTCACATTTAAAACTTCATGCACCAATATATACAGCTGTGTTTTTATTTTAATCGGGGCCTCAGGGGGCCACAGAGGCTGCACTTTGCTGAGGAGGAGTGGAAAGTGCTGGGCTAGTGGAAAGCTCAGTGGCTATAAACAGAGCGGCTGGAGGCGACCACTAACGCGTGCCGACACACCCTGCTGCTCCACCCCACCCACCTCCAGCTGCACATGGAGTTCACTCAAAAACACCAACACACACATTTTAAAGTTCTGATTTTTTAAAGTGGGGTGGTATGAGGTACTTTTCTGTATTCCAAAGTGTGTTAAATACAGGGGAGGCAAGTTAGACACCGCCAGGTTGGAAAAGCAGAAAGGAGTAGCAGCATATAAGTAAAGTTATGTATTGATGGGGCGGGGAAACATATTTTAACATCCTAAAAGTGAAGTTTATACTATTTATAAAAGTCTCACCACTCTCATACAGCCTTGATTGATGAATCAAGGCAGGAGTAGAACCGCCACGCAAGTTTATTGTGAGGTAAAAGTACTATTTTTTTATGGAGGCTTGTGGCTTTGAAGATAGCATAGATTATGGTCTAAGCTCAATTTGTAGTTTAGTATAATTACTTTCAAAATTAGGAGAATGGATTCTAAGAGACCCTATGGGGGTTTTCCCTTTCCTGTAGTGTGTTCTATATGTTTCTGTGCATGTAAATGGTCTGCAAAGGCTAAAATAAGTTTCTCTACCACACGCCCCCCTGCATGAAACACATCCATTGGACTTGGACATTGTTTACTTCAGTTACATAGTGACATCACTATGTGACACTCATGCTTTCATTGGCTAGCGTTTTATCACATGGTACGTGATAGGCAAAGGGGCGGGACATCTCTAAGTGGTTGACCAATCACAACACAAAAAAACAAAAACGATTTATTTGAAAATTTTCAGTCTGGCTTTCGAACACATCATAGCACAGACACAGCTCTGGTTAAAGTCACAAATGACCTTCTAATGGCCTCTGACAAGGGACTTNGAAGGGAGTATAAGATCACATCCCCCTGCAGCATTGACAAGTGGGATGTTCAGTAGTAGGCCGAATCTGTGAAGAGATTCAGATGCAGATGATTTGCAGATGATTAGGTGCTCATTTTGGAATTTTAATTTTGTTCTGAGTATGTGTTCATGTGGCGCTAGGCCTTGTTTAAGCAAATTGGCCACACCACAAAACTTGGTGGTACAGCCAGAAGGGAACAGAAGTTCATATTTCCCTGCAGCATTGGACAAGTAGGATGTTAGGTGTTCATAGGCCTTGTTATAGAAAAGTGGCCTTTGATGTTGTTACAACTTTAAATAAACATTAAATAAATAATTTTGTATTGAATTTGTCTTGCTTTTATATAGCATTATTGTTTGTGAGATTAAAATGATCTGTTTTACTTCAATTATCAATGGCACAATTTACCCCAGTGTATTGTCTCTAATGGCACAACTTACCCCGCACCGGGGGCAAGTTGTGCCACAAAACCACTTTTTTTTCTAAAGCTATATTTCTCAAACAGTTTATTTAAGATCCGAAGTGATTGTTCCCAGGGATGCACAACATCCTAAACTATATGTACATATTTTAGTTGGAGGCATTGCTGTAATCCCCTTGCTTTAAAGGCACTTTAAGTAAAAATTGGCACTACTTACCCCACTCTCCCTATATGTTGATGCTAATACTTTTACTTGAGTAACATTTTGAATGCAGGACTTATACTTACTTAACCCTCCTATTGACCGGGAACACCATGGGTGTTACAAAGTTGACTAAATCATCCAAACTTCAATGAAAGTTGTGATCAGTAATTGTATATGTTCAAATATCTGCTGTTAAGGATATCAAAAAGCCTTAATGCAATCGAATGTAAAACAAAAAAGCTATGATTGATGAAAGTAGTAAATCGGTCAGACAACAGGAGGGTTAAGAGAGTATTCCTACAGTCTGGTACTTCTACTTTTACTCAAGTACAAGTTTTGAGTACTTCTCCCCCCTCAGCTCATTGCACACCTGCTAGTTCTGTAGGAAGGTCTTAACTAATTGCCATGGTTACATCTCATCCCCTATTTCTCTAACAGGGAGACTCTGCCACTGTTTCTCCTCTGCAGGGACACCACTGCCCTCTGCTGGAATATGTCAGCTGGTGCAGGGTGGGAAAAGGCTGAAATTGAAGTCCCACTCATAATGTGTCATTTTGAGTGGACATAATTAAAACTAAAAAACAGAATTTTCCCTCTGGAATCAACAAACGGTAAAGAAAAATTAGGGCCTTCACTGGAAATGATGAAGCAAACCATGCCATTTTTATGTATTAATCCTAATGACAAAACATATATATATATACGGGAGTAGTCATTATTTTTTAAATTATAATCAAATGTGGACTTATAGATAGAGCATATTAAATAAACATCCCAAACATGACCCAAGCAACTGAACCAATATCTGCTTGTAAATGACACTCCATTTTACTTTTTACTCACAAGGATATATGTCCATAAAATATTACCTGGGAGATGATTGGACTAGGCAAAACCTCCTCTGATGTATTTTAAAAGATACTCTGTTTTCTTGAAACGCACTTCATGTCGGGGGGAAACTGTGTGATGGAAATATTGTTGCTTGACCTCCAGATATGAATCTTTGACACTTTTGTATTTCATTACTTCTACTTATTATCCAACAAGTGTAGTTACATGTGTCCTACAGTACCTTGGCTAGGTTATGTATGATTGTATGATGCAATGAAAATGACCTAAATCTAAGGAAATGTTAAAACTGTTCATCAGCTCTTTAATAATGAGCTTCCTTGATTGACTGAGAGAGTGAGGGTGTGAATGTGTGTGCACGGTGACTCGTCAGAATACATTTGATTTTGAGAAACTACTAGCTCTATCTGCTGTATACGTTCCAACTGAGTTCTATGTGTGTGTGACATGTAAAAGTGAAATGCTGACAGGTGTGCCTTTTTTAAATGCTAAAGCTGGCTGAGGCTGACTCCAGCAACACAATGAACAGTTTTATTGTTTTTTCACACATTGAAAAACCAAACGTCTTTGTTGTTATACATTTAAAGCTGATGTATATAAGGGCTCCAAACCGTTCAAAGTCAGTTTAGTCATGTTATAAGTGTATTTGAAAGGTACAAATGTTCCATCAAATGTTATTAACACACTCTGGTATTAGAACAATGATTTCCGATAGATATTTTATATTAATTTTACTTTGCTTTTGGATAAAAGTCACAGCTTTTCAGCTTTGCTAAAAGACAGATTCAATCTACACAAGATTGAGTTATATGGGAGTGGTTTGGGTAAGTGACGCGTTGATAAGGTATCTGCGTTGTTTCAAGTAAGAGGACAGGATTAAAATAGTTAAACTAGGAGACACAACACAAGTGGGATGCACTGATGCATAACCCGAGGCCTTAATGAATTCATGTCATATCGACAAATTCCTCAAAAAGACCCATTACACCTTTAATCTACGTACGAAAGTCTCATATAATTTTCTTCTGCGTCAAAAAGAGTTCAAATTGTATTAAAATTCAATTAAGAACAGATCAATAATCCTTGCTGTGGTTAGTCTTGATTTATCCCGACACACCACATCCTCCTGCCACAAATCTATATCACCAAATGTTGATTCATCCGCCACTGAAAATAGTCCCAAGAAAATGCACCATGTCCTCACTTATTTTTAGCAAAGATATTCAGCCTTTATCAGGATTGTATCTGCATCTATTGAGACTGATTTACTGCACATTTGGATGGACACCGATAGCCAGGTTTTCTTTAAAAATTGTTGGAAACTTTAAACGAATATCAAAAATAAAATCAGCCAAAGAAAATGCAAATGATCCTTGTTTCCATTTCCTTCCACTATTTGATTATGAGGACAGTTTCATTGAGATAAACAGCTGGAAGACCCATCACAAACCAATACCTTTTCACTCACTCACTGCCTTCTTATACATCAGTGCATCCCAAAGTAAACGCCATTTTAAAAATACACAAAAAAATATCAAATAAATAAAAAAAAAATGTTTATATTGCCTTGTATTGATTTTAAATAATGACTGTCACAAGTCAGCCGCACACTGTTAACTTGCACACGTGAGGTTGTGTCACTGAGAGAGAGAAGGCACAGCTAGGATAAAGCAGTCAAATGAAGCCCTTAAATCTGATTTTAGGAGCTAGCTGAGTTCTTATATATAACAGCCACAGTCCTCCATCAAGAAAAACTGCACTAAATCCTGTAAGGACAACATTTCCACATTCAGACAAAAAAGATCAATCTATCTGCAGATTTTAAGTCCATAACAGTCAGTTGTTGTGTGCGTTTGTGACAGATAATGTTTTTTCCAACCAGTATCCTGCACTTTTCAGATAGGTAGGTAAAAAGGGTAAGAAGCATCCCTGTCCTCCTTCTTCTCCCTTTAGTCTTCATCCTGGATACTCTGCTTTTTCTTGGCCACCCGGGCCTGGCGCATCTCCTGCAGGGTCTCGTGAGGGTCCATGATGAAGGCCAGAGCCACGCTGGCAGTGCCGTCGCCGCTCTGACGGGAGAAGCACAGGAAGCTGGCCCAGAGGAAGGCGCAGCAGCCCATGAAGGCCGTCCGCAAGTACAGCGGCATCAGGACGAAGTTCAGGAGCTGCAAAAAGGGTGGTAAACATGATGTGAAGTTACAGATATTTATATACACTGTCGTCATTTTTTGTTTTCAGTGAACAGAGTTACTTTCTTATCAGTTGGAAAAACAGTCAGACAAAACAAAGCTCTCCAAGGATTTAAAAAAAATCCATAAACAAGCAAAAATAATAAATGTGTAAAAATGTGCACCAAATTTGTATTTGCTTTATTATTTACCTGCATGAATGGCCAGTACATGAGTCCAGTCTGAAAAGGAAAAGAAAATGAAACTATGACAAAATCCATATATGCCATTTTGGAAAAAGATATGGGTCTTAAAGGGACCCTGTTCTGCTTATTTTCAGTTTCATTTTTGTATTTAGTGCCTCTACTGTGACATGTTTCCATTCTTTAAGGTTCAAAAAGCTCTTTCTCATACTGCCTGCGCTGCAGCACCTATTTTCACCCTCTGTCTGAAACCAGGGCCCAGTCTGCTCTGATTTAACCAATCAGAGCGTCCAGTGATTGGTCAACAGCTTAGAGTTGTCCTGTCCCTATCATTTACAATGTGTTGGAGCACTAGCCAATAGAAGCGTGAGTGTTACATAGTGACGTCGCGATGTAACAAAAGTAAACAAAGGAATCTAAGGGAGGCGTTTCAGGCAGGGGGGGGTAGAGAAACTCCATTCAGGACACTATTAACTAATGATACGTTGACATTTACCAGGATCGTGAACCATTAATCCAGCAGCATTACACATGATTTATATTTGGCATGATATCAGCTGCTGAAACTCACTGACTTTTTTAATCCTCTGGCAGTAGCCGCGGCTGAATTACCCAGCTTGCTCTCGGGCTACGTGTCCACTGCGCAAAAGCGTCAGCGAGCACAATCTGGGTTAATCTGTTTGAGCAGCAGCAGCATGGGGAGGGAAGGTGACTTTCCTCTGCTGGATGCTGCTGAGGCCTTACCTTCCAGGTGTTGAAGAACTTGTCTCTCCAGTCTTCAAAGATGTCCTCCTTACCCTCCAAGATGCTCACCCCTGCAGGAGAGAGGAGACTTTTAGGTCCAGTTTGAGTTGATTAAAAAACTTGTGTAAGGACCGTGATGGATTGATAAATGGGCATTCCGGGCAAAGGCACACAGGCCCAAAGTTTCAGGGGCCTGACTTACAAAATGTTGTTGAAAAATAATCAAACAACTATGAATGATTAAAAATGTCTACAAAAGATAAATAAAATAACTTTATAGGTGCAAATCAACCACATTAAGACGGTAAATGACTGAAAATGGACTCAAATTGACGAAAAGTATATTCACATAAGGACTTTTCACGAAAGAAGATGCAAAACCACCATGAAGGACACAAAACAATCACGTGCAAAACACACACAAAACAAGCAAACTATACTACATATAAACTTGCAATAATGATAAATACAAAACCACCACACAAACATTAAAAACATCTACAAGTAGACACAAGACAACCAAAAACAGATGCTAATTTACTAAAAATAGACTTTTTAAGTTTGGGTGTCTTGTTTCTAAGGAAAGGGGGAGGGTGAGGGGGTCCTACATTTTTGAGTCCAGGGGCCTAAACTCTCAAAAATACGTCCCTGACTCACCCTGCATGATATTTGACTGAGGGATGACCTTCACAAGAAACCTCATTAAACCTCCCTTTTGTGTTTCGTTGTTATGATTGCATGCTATTTCATATTGAATCAGCCTGAGTGCATGTTGTTGAAGCAAATATTCTGAACATTTGTACAAATGTGCCTGCTCTGTAGTTTGACATGAATCGTTTTAGAGATATTAGGAGTTAGTTAGGTGCACGTGAATTGACAAAGCCTTTAATTGTCTTCGCATTAGATTGGATTCACCATCAGGCTGTTTTACCTGTGTAGAAGGCACTGGTGGCCAAAGGCGACGCGAAGCTCTGGTCCAGCAGGAGTTTGCGTAAAACCATTCCGGCGGACTTCCCGGGGAACCGTCTCTCCAGGGCTCGCAGCCAGAAGTAATTAAAGTTCCCATGGAAACTAATTGCTACAATAGCCACGTTGCGCGTGTGTTTCCAGTCAATGTTATCCTCTTGAGCTACGAGCTGATGGACCAGGTCACCGCCGGCGAACAGGCACCCATACAGAGTGACATTGGCCAACCAGGGAAACCTTTTGGCGGCCTCTTTGAGCACGACCCCCCTCATATTGGCACCACTGAAGGGACGCTGTGGCTCCTAAATTGATGCTGTTAGGTCTTTGAATGGTTTTTCAGCCATCAAAACGTAGGCATAGCGGTTAAACTGGTCTCACCACGGCCGGATATCAGTCTGCTGGCCGGCACGACGCTATCCATCTGTGCGCAATAATTAGAGAGGGATTAAAAGGCTCCACTGGCTGCGGGAATATCACACATTACCTTCTCAAATGAGTAATGAGAAATACACACTCATATATGCGTAAAACCTGCCATGGCTCCAGTTGGTCACTTGGAAAGTCTTTGAAGTAGAGCGTCCTCGAATTACGCATGCGTAAAATCCATCAATCCACCCTTTCCTTATATAAAGGAGACACGGAAGAAAAATCTGAAGAGGAACAATAATATAAATCTAGATATTTCTGTCTGCTTTCACTCTCAGTGAATCAGGTGCCTGTCAAACAAGTCCTGCCGGTCGAGCTCTAATCTGAGGGATTGTCCCGGGACGCTCAGATGTAGCCTCGATGACCGTGTACGTAACTACGTCACACATAGCATTAGTTTGCTGCGCAGTGATCTGCGGTGACCAAACAGCTCCCTCTCTTTCTCTAGCTATCTTGGGACTCTTGTACTATGTGGTTTTGTGGCATTACCATTGTTTCTTCTTTATCTAATTTGCAGGCTGGGATTAAAGAAACTGTAATTGCAGTTAAGAAGCAGCTGGGCCATACTACTTTGGCCTAACATTGAACTTTGACCCTGTTGCTCATGTATGTGCTGAGCAAAGGAATGTGCGTAAGAATAGCCAGAAAGGCATGCTGGCCCGCATACTGAAAAGGTGTTGGTATTTTTGGCTCAATGCATTTTACACTACTACATACTTAATGTTCTTTAAATGGCATGCCTTATAGTATTGGAATACAAGTATTGGAACGCAAGTGTAAGTGAATATCCCTAGTTTTACTTATGATAATCATAATATCCATCTATTACGCACACCATTTCTGTATAAAATGATACGTTTCAAATATAAAACTCATTAAATGTAGACTTTATTTGCCTCATCTACGGATCTTTCAAACATACTCTACTGGTTATTAGGTTAAACATAATTATAAAAAGGAATACATTAAATTAAACATGATAAATGTATTACAGAGGTGGTAGAAGTACTCCGATGTTGTACTTGAGTAAAAGTAGAAGTACCAGAGTGTAGGAATACTCTGTCTGTTGCAAGTAAAAGTCATGCATTCAAAATGTTACTCAAGTAAAAGTACAAAAAGGTATTAGCATCAAAATATACTCAAAGTACTAACAGTAAAAGTGCCCATTATGCAGATTGGTCCATTTCAGAATAATATATATGATATGTTTTGATTATAATTATTGATGCATTAAAGTGTTATCAAAGCTGGTAAAGGTGCAGCTAGTTTTAATGACTAGTGAATGTATACTGCAGGGTAGCTTGTGAACTCAGGTGGAACTAAAGTCTGATTTAAGACTTGATTATATTTCCCATCATTAATCCAAATCTGTAAAGTAAAGGGACAAATATATGTAGTGGAGTAAAAGTAAACTAGTTACCCCTGAATTGCAGTGGAGTAGAAGAACAAAGTAGCATAATATGGAAATACTCAAGTAAAGAACAAGTATCTCAAAATTGTACTTAAGTACAGTACTTGATTCCCACCTCTGATGTATTCAAGCAGCAAACCAGAACACATGGAGTTTCCATTTTGTGCCAATAGAGGGCGAAGTTACTCCACAAAGGGCCTGCAGGGGCTAATGTATCTGTACAACAAATAACGCTATGCAAATAACGCAATGATTGATGTAACACCGAGGCTGAAGTCACATATCCTACACTTAATAAATATGATAGCAAAGAATGCAAGATATTACAGTAATGTAATAAATACATAGCATCCAATTTTTTTGTTGTTGAAAGATTTGTTTTTATACTATGTTTATATTTAAAGATGCTTAATTTTCAGTACAATTGCATTTGTAAAATTCACAAAACTATCCATTTCTGCAAAAACAATGTCCAAAACAAAGCAAAAGTGCACACATGTTTACAGAGGGACACAAATGTAGTCGCGTAAAAATAATACAGTAACATTCTTCAACTTCACTACATTACATATATATATATAAGGTAAAAAAGTGAGGACATATTACTGACATTAAACATCACTCTAAATTAAAAAAGAAAGAACACAATAAAAGTAAATAAATACCCAGCTGCAACATACATTTACATTACAAGTCTAGATTTTAATTAATTTCACCAGGAGGTTGATTAGGGACGGGTGAACCGAGCATTCCTCACTCCGATTGGCTTACTTTCTTGTCGATCATAATGATCTTGTCGCTGATTGGCTCCTGGCCTAGAATCCTCGGAAGTGTCATTTTTGTACTTGAGCAAAACTTCGGCATATCTATCGGTGGTGTGGCGTTGGCTTCTAGCTGATTCACAACTTTTGGAAATAAATGGCCACTGAAAAGCTCTAAAACAGGTATGTTTCTCCACCTAACAAGATTAACTTTTCATTTAAACCAAATAGCAGATATTGTCTTGTGTAGCTTCTTGTGTTTGCTCTCCCAAACATTGTCTGAGTTTGATTGTCTTTTGGCCACAAGCTAGCCAACTTTCCTCCTGTCTTGAAACGTTTCTCAGTAACGACAACTCATTACAACGTCGCCTATCTAACTGGTAAACGTGTCTTTCATAAATTGTAGCTTATCTGAATCGTCTGAATCAACAGTAACACAAGTTTACTCTCATTTAACGGCTGATACTGACAATTTATGCAGTTTGCCTGTTATTGTCATCATCTTCTTCCACAAAAATGCAACGTGACCACCATCTATTAAAGTTCACATTTCAGGGATAAAGAAGGCGCTTTGAGAAACAGCTTTCAAACCGAATTGACTTGAATACAATCTTTATTCAGGCAGACCCTATTTTTTATGATTGTGATGTGTCTCAGTCTGCTGAGAGGAGCTAGAACTTTGAAATGGCAGATTTGTGAAGGGAGTTTGTTAGGGGTTCTCCCCTCACGCTTAAGATCAACAGTACTGTATCCACCGACCTGCGTCCTCGTGACATTCCCACGGATCAATTATACACCGTAAATCTATTTTGCATTTGACATGTCTAAACTTCCATAAGCAGACCCAATACTGCTGGGTAAAGGTTTAACTTTATGAAAATAACTGAAAATACGGAAGTGTTTGTAAGCGAGTTGAGACATGTCTGCTGTCTCTTCTTGTCACTGCTCTGCTCTAATAATAATAATAATAATGTTTGGTTGCACTTGAATGCCTTTCATAACTTTGCTGTTTGTCAGAGCATGTGCAGCATGCCTGAAGGAGTTACATGCTGCTTCTTTACATTCTCTAACGGTTATTTAAAGATAAAACATACAATTCAAATGAGGTCATAACATTATATGATGCATTCAAGTGCTTAACAATAGTATGTCTATCACGCTTCCAGTATGAGCACTCAAAACAGCCAATATGCTCATGAATGTTGAGGAGAATATTATAAAACAAAATGATGAACATGCACAACCCAACCTTTTTGTCAAGTCTGTTTAAACTGTCCTTTTTTGTTACCTTTTATTCTGGATTGTTTCTCAAATTCAATATGAAATGGCTTTCCTTGCTTCACACAGAGCTTGTTTTAAGACTTGTTTGCCTAGACAGGGTTGTGTCACTGCATAATATGTAATACCGTGAACAGTGTGACAGACCTGTGAAGGCAAGACAGTAGGACATCATTACACACAGGTTGACCTAAATACTCTACAAAAACACTACCGTTAACTCTCTGGCTTCATATCTTCATACAAAAGCATCAAGAGTACAGGTTTGTTTCTTGCCAAAGCCATAATTTATCATACTTTATACAGGCAATATATTTCTGTCAGTTTGACATATGCTTGACTGAGTTCCAATAACTCACTTTGAGTCTTTAGAAGGCTTTAGAGAGAGAGAGAGAGAGAGAGAGAGGGATTATAAATCCACAGGATTAAAGAGATGGTCAGAGAGAAAGCGTCCTTTTTTAGAGGATAAAAAGAAAATCTATGTTGTGAGTGTCTGTTAATGCTGCTGGAGTTAAAGAGGGGGGGACTAATATCTATGTTGTTTGTGTCACAGAGAGTGCATGCCTGCATAATTCTGTAGACCTGCATTTGCATGCATGGGGGTCTTAATGCAAAGACCTGACAGAAGAGTAATGCTCTTAATGTGTGTCAGTATTTTGTGACAAAGGTTGTAATGGCATCCCGGTATTAAAGGTGACAGTTATCATTGTATTGACATTTGCACATCTATAGTTTAAACAAATGGATCCCATTAAGTCTCTGTGTGTTAAGGAAATGTAGAATAAATCCAGGTTCTCCCATATAAACCCTAGGTTCACTTAAATGTGTTTTTTATATATGGTTTGGGTGAATTATTTTTAAAGTTTTCAGAAAACTGAACCATTGTTATTATGTTATCATCTGTGTATGAAAGGTGGGAAAAGCCAGAGCTGATAATGATAAACAACCCCCAAAAAGCTTAAAGAACAGTCATATACTTAGTTTTGATGCTCTTCATATTGCAATTTTTTTTGCTGCACCAGAATCAGGTTGATGGCATCATAGGTTTACAAATACAAGGAATTTGCTTTGGTGTGAAATATCGCATACTGTACACAAAACCTAAGATGTAAAAAAGGAGCAAATATTCAGAATTTTTTTTTTTTAAAAAGAACACCTATCTAAAAAGATGTTAACAAGAAATGTTAATATACCAGAAAGGGAATATCATAAAGATGCGACACATTTAAAAAAAAAAAGCTTTGCCATTTATAGTGATCGTGCGATAATTATCTTATGTGTATTTTTTATTATCTGTACACGATGACATCTATTACATGTCTGTATGTCCTGAGAAAGGAATTCTTCCCTAGTAGCTCTCCCTGATATTTCTTCAATTTTGTTCCCATTTGTGATATTTAGCTATATATATGAGTAACATGTCATTGATTGATATTACATATTTTGGCTTGCTTTGGTGCCACAGTTTTTTTTATTAAGGCGGGAAAACACCCTGGAATCACAGGTAATGTTTCCAATAAAGTTTTCTGGTGCTAAGTTCTAAAATGTACAGGGTGCTTTCGTATTTATCCTAGATAGATTTTCATAGTCCCTGTGTATGTATGATCCGGTTATGGTTTTAATTTAGAGACAGTATATTCACCGCAGTGTAATGTAAGATGCCCTCCTGGGTCACGTGATGATACTGTGTATAGTGCATCAGGCGCTACTTCCTCTTATGCTGCTGTAAAGGAAGCCGGCCGACCGCGGCCGGGCCAGGTTGTGTCATTACTTTCAGCTCTGAGGAGGGTTTGTCTAAAAAGACAGTAACTTTTAGGCCTTAAATATCTGCAAAACAGAACGCCTACTCCTCCCATCATGCATCATCTTGTATCAAACAGGAATTGAGCATATTACAAATACAATTCATAGCTTACATTACTAAAGGCATGAGTGATCATTCAATGTGAAAATGTATCATTAGGTAATCATATCGTCAGGAGATTATATATCGTGATACAGAAAAAGGTCATAAATTGAAAAACAGAAACCCATACAAAGTCAAATTGGACAGATAGTGACGATTTTTTATGGTTTTGTTTTTTTACACACTTACCATGACCACTTACTTCATATAAACAAACTTAAATACTCTCGCATTAGCCGGATGCCATTATTTGTCTGATTACTCTGTATTTGTGTGCAGGCCAATCACTTTTTTGTCCTCCATAATTTCACTTGAAACTGACAAAAAAATGTGTGGACAGCTGAGGGAATAAAACTGCTTCAGTATTCTAAATTCTTGAATCCTAACTGATTCTGAACAATGAATATTTAAAAGAATGTCTCACTGAAAATAAGTGTGAAATAACTATGGGTTTTATAGTTTATTGTATTTTGTTATATCAAACAGTGTTTCTGTGAGATGTGTTGACGCTGTTGTAAACTCTCCTAATCTGTTAAAGTGTGTGTAACTGCGTGACATTAGCTCTGACATTACAGCTGTTTTTTTTAAACTCTGCATGTTGACGTTACTTTGTTCTGTGCTATCAGTTTCCATAAATACAATGACCGGCTTTTACATTATCACACAGCCAAAATAATCAAATGCAGAATTATTCTAGCGATATTTGATAGGGGATGTGAAGGTCACGGGAAGTAGCTTAACAATCTGCTGAACCTATTTTGTGTTTTATTTTAGTTTTGTGGTTATCCAAATTGTATTAAAATGTCAGTATCAATCTTGTCCTACGCAGCAGAGTCCTGAAGTGGTCCTAACGGGCTGGTAGCAGGAGGAAGTGGTTTTTCTTGTTGCATCACTTCCCCTGCCAGTCGAATGCTCTGCATGCAGTGTTGTATCTTGTAGTTTTTGTGGTGGAGGATGCAGGCTGTGATGCATTTCACTCCATATACATGTGCACTCTTTGTTATTTTGAGCCTTATACTAAAATAGTTTATAGGGGCCCTAATATGCTAATGTCTAAGTTCATATTAGTAGTTTGTGCCTCTACTGTGACATGTCCACATGCTTTAATGCCTACTGCCTATGCTGCAGCACCTCTCTCTGTCTGAAAGCAGAGCCCATTCTGCTCTGATTGGCTAGCTGGCCGGCTCTATGTAATTGGTGAACCGCTAAGAGATGTCCTGCCCCTTAGCCTATCTCGCACAATTTGTTGTTGCGCTAGCCGATAGAAGCGTGAGTGTAGCGTAGTGATGTCATTATGTTACAGAAGTAAACAAATGATTCCAATGGAGGCGTTGCAGGAGTGTGTGGGAGAGAAACTCCCTCTGGATGAAAGTAAGTAGTATGAGTGTGTCTGGTTACAGGTTATTCTGCAAGTTTGGTTGTATTTTGTAACTAATCTTCTTCTCTGTGTGTCAGGAGTTGGGAGGATGTCAGTGGAGGTGGACTTGTTGCTGCAGGAGGCCAAAGAAAGCATCGAGGCGGCCCAGAACTACCGCAGTGAACTCCAGCATCGCCTCAATGGCCTCAACCAGGCCCGCAAACAGGTAGCACGCTCACAGCTCTGCACACACAAAGATGTAGTCCAAAATACTTTATTCTACATATGTTATTTAAAATGATTCTTTATTAAGCTTCTTGTGCAAGTTGTATTGTTTAAAAGGGACACAGGTTCTCACAAATTGTTGTGTGGTCACTTTAAGAGTGTATTTAATTGTTTCAATTTTAGAAATGCATATTGTTACTCATCCATCTTCTGAAGCTAGGTGGATGCTTCCAGCAGATCATTTTAAGGATATGACTTCTCAAACATTGCATGACATGATTCTGGCTCATGGAGAGCAACCATGTATTAGTTTAAGAGAGGTCTCCACTCAGTGTTCTTCAAGTCATCACCCAGGTCCATTATCTGCTGTGTCTTACACCTTTAAATGAAGGTAAAGAAATGTTAAATACCGTATCATATTATTGGCCTTTTACATAGTTTATAAAGCTTAAGAAGTAGGAGAAATTACTTCCACCTGGTAACTAAACGTGCCAAAAAGTGAGGGGAAAAGTATAATATGTGCCTTGAAATGACATTAGTAGAAATATAAAGTTGCATGAAATGGAAATACTTTAGTAGCACTAACTCATGCATGAGACACAGTAGTGGAGTGAATGTACTCAGTTACATTTTACCGCTGATGGTGGATCTGGTCGCTCTCGGGTCAATAAGAAGTGTGTTGGCCCCTGACCCGCTCCCCCCCAGAGAACATTCTCTCTCTCGGCTATCTCTTCCTTCCCGCTGTCTAGATTTACCCCTCCAGCTGCTCACTGTAAACAATACTGCTATTTCCTGTTGCCATATACATCTTAAAGGAGAGAGAACAGGCCAGACTCTGACCCAAAACTAGGGGATGCTCTGATAGCCAATTTTGAGGAATCAGTATCAGCCGATACCCATCGCCGATCCGATCGAGTGGGCAGGGCCTATGGGGATCTTCCACTTAAAGTGATGTTTAAAACTCAGTTAATGGGGCTCAGTTAATGGGGCTCATTCACTGGCGCTTCCACAAACAACAACCAACATAATTATTACATTCAAATGAAGTACATTATTCAAGTTTAACCTGAAGAGTCAGAGCCTCACCAGCCATGAACCTCACTGCATGTCACTGCAGAAGCTTATATATAAACATCTAAGTTGTTTGTACCCCACCGCTTTTGTACATATAAAAACGCCACTGCCCGTGTTATTAGTTCATGTAAACTTGAATAATGTACTTCATTTGAATGTAATAATTATGTTGGTTGTTGTTTGTGGAAGCGCCAGTGAATGAGCCCCATTAACTGAGCCCCATTAACTNTAACCTCAGCTCAGTGAGGTTAAGACACACCTTGATACGATCATTATAGTTATTAATGAGACATTAGAAACTATATGAAAAACAGGTATAAAATACAATATTACAGTAAAACAAAGTTTTTATTAACAACAAACAAAAATACAGTTTAAAAGGGGAGTGATTTGTAAAATATCCAAAAAGAAAAATCTGCTTACAGATCCATAGATCTCCTAATGTTGCTCTCAAAATGCACCAGATTGATGCTTTTAACTTCAATATTTAAAAAAAAACATCTTCCCGGAGGAGCATGCCCCCGGACCCTCCTTGAGAAGGTTAGGTCCCCCCCACTTAAGTCATGTTCACATGGATAGGATACTAAATACATTTGCACACATCTTGTGTCCATATCTTTCTGTTTTGGTGGTCATGCCACAACCGTGCACTGCATGCATGCATGCGTCAGCGCAGCAGTCATGGTAAGATATCTGGATTAAGAGGTTGCTTTTTCTTTGCACAGCATGAAAGAAAGGCGAAATGAATGGGCTGTGATTTTATTTTTTTAAGCAGAGGTTGAGTTCAATCATTTGTTTAGCCCTCGGAGGATGTTGTAAAAATTGAAAGGAAAAAGGTTCCCCACCCCTGCTGGAAATAATAATCAAAACCCTTGATTTATAACTTGACATCTCTGTCTCCTATTGATCTGAGTATATTATAAAGAATAGCCAGTTAATTGAAGCATTATAGCACAGGCCTTTGTCAGATGGTATATTACACTGTTTTTTTCTGCTTCGAATAGTTCTCTCTTTTTTCACCATACCTGTGTTTGCATCACTGGTTATAGACGGGCAGATTTTAAACAAACATCTAGGTAACTCACACTTTTCTGGAAGATAAAAGGAATGTGAAATTGAAAAATGAATACCCAATCATCAAACACATTCATAGACCAAATTAGCTACCTGTTAGCAGAAATATTCAGATGTGTTAATGTAACATTTTGTTCAACTGTATCTGCTCATTTGTTATCAAAGAACAAGGACTGAGAAAGTGAATTGTCTTCCAATCTATTGCAGTTCAGTTTTTTCACACTTTATCTTGGTGAAAATTGAAGATCTGAATATATAGTTCATATAGTGGTTGATGGTGCTGTACGGATTTTAAAACCCATAGTAATAGTAAAGTGGTACAGTGTCACAAAAACTCATTTAATAATGACACAAAATATTTTTGAAAATGAACTCCGATAATTTGTCATTTAAATCCCTGATTTACACTTCGATCAATGTTTGTAGCTCTAAGCTTAGTACTAACTTGGTGAGTAAGGTGTTATTATAACTGATATAATGATATGTGAAACTTCCTTTGAAGATGTGAAATCACCACTGTGATGTTTGTCAGGCTTTTTATTGAATCATGTGTCTGTCTCAGACTTTACAGAGGAAATGTCAAACAGGAAGAGGAGGAGCTCCTCTCTCAGGGAGGAGGGAGAAACCACATTTGTGGCTCAGATGACTGTCTTTGATAAGAACAGGTGAGAAACACACACACTGCCACCCTCTGACACAAGAACACACTTTCCTCTTATCTCATGTGCATCAACGTGTGTGTAAACGCTGTGAATGATGTTGTGCTGTGTGTGTGTGTGTGTGTGTGTGTGTGTGCAGACGCCTGCAGCTGCTGGACGGGGAGTACGAGGTGTCTATGCAAGAGATGGAGGAGTGTCCCGTCAATAAGAAGAGGGCCACCTGGGAGACCATCCTGGACGGGAAGGTGGGTGTGTGTGTGTGTGTGTGTGTGTGTGTGTGTGTGTGTGTGTGTGTGTGTGTGTGTGTGTGTGTGTGTGTGTGTGTCCTTTTTATTACACACTGGAGACACAATGTCAGTACAACTCCAAGAGCAGTGTTGTTTCAGCATTTTGGTTACAAATATATATTGTTCAATGCCGTCACAAAAGTGTTCCTCAACCTGTGTGTCCAAAATCTTATTTGGATGCACCTAGTTCATTTTGGAAAAATATACTGGAAATGACAAATAGCCAGTTACGAGAAAATAATTGTGACTTTGAGGTCACGTGGATCAGACTAGCATTAGCAACACTTAAAATGTTGTTTTAGTAACAATAAACATTTTCCAGAATAAAATATTTCATGTTGAGATGATCAGTCTCGCAGCGGGCACATTTTAAAGTGTGACAGCAAGAGCGACAGATCAAAGGCATAAAATACAAATTTTAAGCTAATTAAATATAGAAACAAGCACACGTTAGTAAAAAATGTAGACATAAGTACACATCCATGATTAAAATGAAGTAACAACATTTAAAAGCCTAGTGGACATATGAAAGTGTTGAGATTGTATTCTTAAATAAGTTAACATTCATTCCAAGTCCACAGCCATCTTTAAAAAGGTGGTTGGTTTGTTTTTCATTAAGAGGTTTAACCTTTTTAAGAATGTTTTAATTGTGCAGCAAAGATATGCTTAATTTTATATTTGAATGAAGTCATTTCAAACCCAGATCAGTGAGTGCATGCCGCCCTCATAATGCAATGAAAATTCCTTTTCTCCATATGGAAGTCAAATCAGTGAGGAAACATATTGACTCACCGACCATGAGGTTCCATCCCTTCTATTTGTGCTCATTGGTTAAACTAGTGTAATCACATATCATCCTCTCTTTTCTGTAGCGTATGCCTCCCTTTGAGAGTTTCTCTCAGGGCCCCACCCTGCAGTTCACGCTGCGCTGGACCAGCGACGCCTCGGACCGCTCCACGGCCCCCGTGGCCAAACCTTTAGCTACCCGCAACTCTGAGACCAACCAGGAGCCTCGACCCAGCTCCCTGAGAGCCACACACACTCTGGGTGAGCAGCAGATATTTGACATCCAGAAAGCTGTCAGCGGTGCAGCTGTTTATCATTATTTCACTCTTACAAGTGACTCATGGTGTGTTCCTCCTCTGTGCTGCAGCTGTTAAAGAATCCATAAATGCTGACGTCCATACCAGAAGAGAACTGATCTCAGCTGAGCCCCGCCAGAAGCTGCGCATCTTCTACCAGGTCAGTCTGCTGCTCCGCCTTCACCTCAGAGTCTGCGTCGCCATTTTAAAGGGGACCTATCATGCAAAATGCACTTTTTGATGTCTTATACATAAGTATGTGTCCCCGACGTGTCAGGGAACCCACAAAGTATCAAAACAAAACCCTCTCTCTTTTCTTCCGTGCGCAATTCTCTGAAAACGGGGCTACAACGAGCTGATCTAGATTTGCCATATGACGTAAATTACATAATATCGGACGGCACCCACGTGGTGGACCCACGGCCCTATCAGAAACTCGCTATCAGAATCAATGCGTGACGTATTTTGGACATAATATGGTCTTTGTTTACATTAGCAAGCATCGCTAACACTCAGAGCTAACCAGTACTGGAGAGAGCACATGTGTGAAGAAGCAGGATAAAGAAAGGAATTCACCTTGTGGTAAACCAGCAAGAGAGAAAGCCTTTGAGCTCCATACTGTTTCAGAAATAATCCTTGATGTGGTTTTAGCGTTTCATCACCACAGCATTTATTTTAGACAGTATCTGCCGGTCCCGCATGAGCAGGCATATTTTTGTAAAGCTTTATACCCCGAATCAGCACTTTAGCAACAGGAAGTGAAATAGAGGCATATGGGTGATCTGTTTGGTATTTTGAGCAAAACACTTCATGGACATGTTTATATATCTAAGACCTATGCTATTGCCTAAAAATGGCATGATAGGTGACCTTCTAAAGGTTTTATCGTCACGCTCAACTACACATTGGGTTGAAAATGATTCTCTGTCCTGATGATAACACTGTATGACTTGTACCACGATCCAATGAACTTCGTCCAGAAATGATGCTACGTCTTTCCCAAGATCCCTGTGATGTTACAGCGGTTTGACCTTAGTGACACATTTCCACACTTTCCAATGCTGCGTTCAAACGGTGTTGGAATATTTAGGAAACAAATGGATGCGAATGCCCTGAAACGAGTCGTAGCGTTGATGACACGCTCACGTCTGTGTTCTTCTGTCCAGTTCCAGTACAATCACAACACGCGGCAGCAGACGGAGGCCAGAGACGACCTGCACTGTCCCTGGTGCACGCTGAACTGCAGGAAGCTGTACAGCCTGATCAAACACCTCAAACTGTCCCACTCCCGCTTCAACTTCAACTACGTGGTGAGACTCTCTCTCTCTGTGCAACAACATGTCCTTCAATTAAAAGAATACAAGTAAAACCATAGGTTCAAACGAAGGGATAAAAAATAAAAAGTGATTTGATTAAGGAACAACTGACGAATAAAATAACTTGGTTGACTAGAGAGGTCAGGAATGGATTTGTATACTGATAAAACACATACATTTACTAAGTCTTATATCTAAACTCAGCAGTACAATTTAAAGCCTCCTTTTTTCATGTTTCCATTATTAGCATAACATTCCTGAGTGAATAAGGATTATATAGGATATAAGGATTTTCCATAATTAAAGATTAATAATACTAATAATTGATATATGCGCCTTCTTTAAACTCAACGCAATTCTTAAAAAATCACGATCTTCTAGTAAGATATCCCTCCTTAAATTAAGTTATGGTAAAATATGATTTAAAAGAATATAATAAACAAAATGGAAATGTTTGGCTCACATTGATGCCTTTGATTGATGGCTTTCCTCAAACCTAAAAAGACTTAAAGCAGTGGATTTAAATGATGTGACTGGAGCTCACAGCAGTCTTCCAGATGAAGCTGCTAGTCAGATGTTTTTATTCACTCTTCTCTCTGATCTCCGGCAGCCCCATCCCAAAGGAGCGAAGGTGGAGGTCTCCATCAACGAGTCCTACGACGGCTCATACGCAGGGAACCCTCAGGACATCCACAGCCAGCCGGGCTTCGCCTTCAGCAGGAACGGCCCGGTGAAGCGGACGGCCGTCACACACGTCGTCGTCTGCAGGTATTACTACTCTCACTGTTGGAGGGATAACACGGAACATTTCTGCAATGAAAGCTATTCGACAACATGATTTGGTTTGCTGTGAGCAACGCGTACAAGTTACATATATGCTTCAGTGTGGTCTTTCAGAATAAATTAAAGTGTTATCTTTTTTATAACCAACATCTACCATTCAAATCCCTTTCCTGTGGTGTGTTATATTGGTTTTTGTGCATGTAAATGGTCTGCAAAGGCTAAAATCCCCGAGTTCCCCTCCACCTAACATAGTGACATCACTGTGTAACACTGGCGCTTCTATTGCCTAACACTCCAACACATTGTACGTGATAGGCTAAGGGGCGGGACATCTCTAAGTGGTTGACCAATCACAACAGAGCCGGCCAGCTAACCAATCAGAGCAGACTGGGCTCTGGTTTCAGACAGGAGGTGAAAAGAGGTGCTGCAGCACAGGCAGTATGAGAACAATAAAGAGCTTTTGAACATTAAAGCATGTAAACATGTCACAGTAGAGACACAACATACAAATATAAACCTGGAAATTAGCATAACTTGTCCTCTTTAAATATTTTGAAACTATAATTTTCTGTCCAGACCCAAGAGGACGAAGGCGAGTCTTTCAGAGTTCCTGGAGCCGGAGGACGGAGATCAGGAGCCGCCCGTCATCAGCGGACACAACCGGCTGTACTTCCACAGCGACAGCTGCGTGCCGCTGAGGCCTCAGGAGATGGAGGTGGACAGCGAGGACGAGAGGGACCCCGACTGGCTCCGAGAGAAGACTGTGAAGGTGAGCTCACTGCTGAGAGAAGACATACTGGAGCAGCACACTATGCTTTACTGGTCATGTTGGTCAAACTACCTGTTACAGCAGTTTCATAATGCCTTTGTATGTACAGGAGAAAATAAACTTTGATTTAGCCACTTGTTCTGTTCCTGCATTTCTGATGCTTGAGTTTATGTAGAACGTTGGCCATGTCTAACATCTGATCTAAAGTCTGACTGCTCTCTCCGCAGCAAATGGAAGAGTTCACAGACGTCAACGAGGGAGAGAAGGAGATCATGAAGCTGTGGAACCTCCACGTCATGAAGAACGGGTGTGTATGAAGCTGAATCTTTATCTGCTTAAAAAAAGCCAGCTTATGTTATTAAACGAAACAAGGCTGCACAGAATTTAAATGTGTTGAAAATGTTGATAAGCATTTTAATTTCAACATAACAATAGCCATGTTAACTACCATGGCTATTGGGTACAGCCATGGTAGTTAACAATGTGTACGTGTTAAATCGTGCATTTAAAAAAACGTCTCTTTGCTTGCACTCACCCCATCATCCTCTCTGTCCTGCCTACAGCTTCATAGCAGACAACCAGATGAACGAGTCGTGTCTGGTGTTTGCCGATCACCATGGCGCCCACATCGTCAAAAACAACCTGTTTCGCAACTTTCTGCTGCACCTGATCAGCATGCACGACTTCAACCTGGTCACCACGCAGACCATCGACCAGGCCATGGCCCGCCTGCGCCTCCTGCAGAGCCAGCCTCACACCGACAAGGAGGAGGAGGAAGAGGAGGAGGAGGAGGAGGAGGACTGGGAGACGGCCGTGGAGTCTCAGCCGGAGATGGATCAAGATCCCGAGCTCGATGCGATCGATGACACACCCTGTAATGAGGGGACTAGCAAAGGCTGCGTGGAGAACGGAGAGGAGGAGGAGGAGGAGACGGACGGGACAGACGGGACAGAGAGAGCGGCCAGCGAGCAGAAACTCCCCGGCTCTGGATCGGCTTCAAACTGAATCTAAACTCTATCAGATCCCCCAACAGGACAATACAAGAATCTTTCAAAAACAGCGTGCGAGACAAACACACAGGTTACTGCAGGGAATCATGTTTTCAAAAGCAGGCTACATCGGAGAGATGACATTGTTCTACATCATGGTGCGTCAGAGACGTTTATCATTTCATTACCTTTAGAAATGTAGAAGTGTTCCTAATAAGTTGAATCTCAGAATGATCAGATGCAGTTAACTGGTGCTAGATCCTCTTTTACTCCTCAGAAACTCTGGGTGCCAAGATGCATTCAAACACAGCTCCTCCACAGGGAAGGAGGTGACCTTTTTGGGAGGTTTTTTTGCCACATTTTGGGGGGGAATCAGGTTAAGTTGCCCCAAAAAATAAATTGACAGGATCACTTCTTTCAGCATCTGTTTCTTTTTCATATATGAATCCAGGTGCTCGCTCCAGCCGCTTTAACTTCATATAATCTTTGAGGGACTTTTGCTAACACACACACTCACTCACTAAGGCTCTGGAGTATCTGCATTTCACTTGCGTATATACTAAAGAGTTGCAGAGGGGTTAGGGGAGGCCATCAGCTTGCCGCTCATTTAATCTTTTGTCTAATTTCTCTGCTGCCGTTATGTACATAAGACTCTGGGAAACTCACAATATAGCTTTGGATAATGTGTGTTTTGGAAAGCAACATGTGAGTTCTTTTGTTATAGTTTCTTTTAGTTCACACACCAAAGGGGATGAATCTTCTGCAGGTTGCTCTGCTGCTGTTTCTCATGCTTTTTTTTTGTAAAAATAAAACATATTTTTCTGCAAAACCTGAACCGATCTCACTGCCTTGAAACAGGAGCAGAAAGAAGCACAATGTCCAGGAGAGCGTTTCAGTTTCCTGCTTCACATTCAACAGTTTATGGACTGGTGTTGATTGAGTCTTTATGTACCTTCTCTTGGTGCAACTTTTCAAAAAGCTTTAGAAGTCTGATGGTGAGAAATTCAGCAGGATCTAGTTTGCCGTTTGGTTCACATGTGACTTCTGAGTGACGTGCAGAGCACTTTTTAATTTAGATAGAGCCCACTTTTCCATTTTTTCCCACATGAGACCAGCAGCATTTTGCACACGATGAGGAGCGATGTCAAGAAAAACAAGACTTTTCTTCTACATTTATGTAAAAACCAGCTTGACGTTGTGAACTTTTAAGTTGACTCAGAATGGTTTTCTATTAAAAGAACAATTTTGTATAACTATCGACCATGTGCTTTATTTATTTCACTTCTGCAATCATGTCACAACTCAGCAGAAAGGGATTGGTTTACATAATTTGACCTTTATTTAACAAAACAACAAAAATGACATCAGTGAAACAAATGCAATACAGAGGTTTGACCAGCAGGTGTCACTGTTTCCACGATGAAATTCCTCAGTTCAGGCTCTTTCAGAACTACGTTTTCTTTTCACTGGTTTCAGGAAATCTGTACCATCCAAGATTCTCCAGAGACAAAACAAGAGCTTAATGTCAGCCGGAAACAAACACACATCTCTGGAAGCTGAGTACAGTGTGTGCTGGACAAACATCAAGTTCTTTTCGGCAACGTGAAGAATACAAAACGTTGCTTCAGTATTGTGTTCTTGATGCTACTGTTGTAACCCGGAATGAAAAACAGAATCAAAATTGTTGTAATGACATTGAAATGACCAGAAAAGCTCTGTTTTCTATTTAAATATGTAAGGGTTTGTTGCTGCTAGTTGGACAAAAGAAGTACGATTAGACTTCAATTCAACCAATTTATAACTTGTAGATTCATCACCTCAACTCGATAGAGGACCTCTCATCAAACTTCTATCAACAGAGGCAAAACACAGTTAGAGAGAATTCAATAATTGCTCAGATTCTACAACCCTTAAATGACACAGCTGATATGCTTCTCGAACAACAACGGCAGGTTTTGTAAATACTGTTAAGGATTGTCAATGTAAAATAACTCAAAGTAACAGCTTGGAAATTTCAAGGTAACAGTTCAGAAAAAAATAAAAGTGTGTTTCTACAGCCTGAAGCTCAAAAAGAAGCACGTTGGACCCTTAAGTGTCTTTTTAGGCTACTCCCAAAATCTCCTCAAAACATCTCTCTGGCTTCCTTAGAACTGTGTGTTTTACTACAGCGGCTAGACAGACGTCAGAGAAATTAAGGCAGAAACACACTTTTTAGGACTTGTGGTGAAGGGTCCCTTTAAAAAATTGCATAAAACAAATTTTGAAAATGAAGAAAAATACCAGCCGATTTTCACAGTGAAGGGGCAACAAAACAGAAAGTGTAACACGTGTTCTTTTTTGCTGCTCCCAAAAAAAGGAAAGACATGATCATGCAGCCTCTTAAGAACAATGTGCTTTTCCTCTACAAGGTGTCAAACTTTACTAAATGAAGACGATGCATAGATCAACAGCTATCTCAAACTCTTCCCCACAGCGAGGGACGGTGCCACGTGAAAAGAAAGCTGTAAACATTAGCCCGAGAAGAGCTAAAAAGAAGCTGTGACGAAAACAAGAATATCATTTTCTCCAAAGTGGCTCCCTGAAGAAGAGCTTTTACAAAGAGTCAGATCCCATTTCCTCCCAGAGAGGCAGCAACGCTCGCAGACAGTCACTACGTTTACATTCACACAAGTAAACACCATTTACAGGGAAAAGGAAAATCCCTGTTCACCAGCTTCAAGCGTTAAATAGGAGCTGAGAGGGGCTGCGTGGATGGAGAGATGTTATCTCCGGTAACATGAAAATAATACACATGTGGCGAGGTTATTTAGAGAGCCCTGACAAATGATCTACAAATATTGAGTGGGAGAGAAACTCCCTCTTCAGGAAAAAGAGATTTTATATAAAACACTACAGGAAAGGGAAAACCCCAAAAGGCATAATAGGGTCCCTTTAAAGAAACTCTGGGACAACATGACGGATTGTTTTCAGACTACAAACCTTTTGTTCAAAAGTGAGGAACAACGGCAGAAGATATAAATCTGAATTTGATTTCTAAGATCTCAAGGATAACCTACCTGCAGTCTGATGGCATTCAGAGGACGCATGGCTTTCCCTAAGTGACCATAAGGGGCTTTCTGAGCAGTTTGAAGAACTGAAGTGCTTGTGGAAAAATGCAACTCCTGCAGAAAGTTTCAAAAAGCATTTGATATCAAATTACGGCAGGAGTTTTACTATCGTGTTCCTCAAGGTCCTTGTGTCTTATTGTGGTATTTTGGAGGGATTTTGGGCACTTGTTTTCAATTTTCAAGTGTTCTTAAATGTTTATTATGGCACCAAATTAGTGCAGCAAATGGTATCAACACCAAAATTGCTGCAACAACATAATAGAGAATAGTGATGGCCATCATATACTTCCGTTATAATGCGCTAAATGTGGACACACTAAACTTTCAAATTAGTAAAAGGCACCTAAAACAAAGTTTACCACAGATTATGACTAGAAATATTGGAGCTGCACCTCAAATGAATCCCATCTTTCACTTGATGCACACAGCTTCTCCGTGGCACACACTGATGACCTGCTATCTCCCCGTAAAGATAAAAAAAATAGAAAATAGGTGGAAGTGGGTTTCTAAGGATCCGTTAAAACACCAGCACTTTCCAGCCGGAGTGGACGAAGGAGCATCCGAAGAACAGGCAGTCCACGGCCTGGTCCACCAGCCAGTCGAACACCACCTCCCTGTTCCCCGAGCCGATGGTGACGCGCAGCTTGAAGTTCCCGCCCTCGCTCAGGTTGTTGTTGCTGACGGGGAACAGGTTGACCACCTCCATGTCGAAGGTCACAGCGGAACCCACGGTGACGGCCGGCAGCTGGTTGGTCATCTCTTTACCGTTCACAAATACGGCGCCTGAGAGAAGCACGGCAAGGTGAGGGTACTTACATAGAGCGCAAATCAACAACACTTAATAATGCCAAAGCGTATTTTGAATAGTCTGAAAATGTAAAGTAATGTTTCTCCGCTGCAGTGGTTTGTCTCATCGTGCTGCATGAGAAGCTAACACTTACAATAACGCTAAATATGGTTTAACATCAACGTCCATCATGCTACACATGACAGAACCGAACAAAAACAGTAGAGCATTTAAGCAATTCTTTTTATTTACAACAGTTAAACAAACCAAACCAATGGGGAACTTCAAGGCAGATAATGTACACTGCTCGACAAAAATGTAAGGAATGCTTTTAATCAGAGTATAGCATCAAGTCCATTAAACTTCTGGGATATTGATCTGGTCAGTTAAGTAGCAGAGGGGGTTGTTGATCAGTTAACAAAATAGGAATGTTTTTACCTCCTCACCTTTTCTGACTTTCTTTCACTAGTTTTGCATTTGGCTAGAGTCAGTGTCACTACTGGTAGCATGAGGCGATACCTGGACCCTACAGAGGTCTCACAGGCAGTCCATCTCCTCCAGGATGCCACATTAATACGTGCTATTGCCTGAAGGTTTGCTGTGTCTTCCAAAAGAGTCAGATGTTTTCGAGCAGTGTATTTAAACATTTTGAAAACGTGAACAATAGGGAATTGTCCATCAACTTTCAAGTTGAGCACCAACAATCTTTGGTTGATTTATTTCCTGATTAAGATAAGTTTACCAGACACACTTTAAAAAAATTAAATGACACTGTGCATGTGTGAGCGTACCGTTGGTGGAAATGCAGACGGCCTGGTCTCTCTGAAGCGACTCTGCCCCCTTCCTGCTGTCCACACACACGCCTACACTGTCCCTCCGGTCCACCTGACCTGCTGCAGATATCCTACACACACATATAAACACTAGTTTTATTACTGTACATTTCCCAACATTTTCATTTTTTACATGAAGATGGGTTTCAAAATCATTAGGGTTTAACATTAAGCTGCTACAAAGTTACTAAAAGAGACATCTCCACATCTGTATAAAAAAATATCATCAAAACACATTTTTCAGTTGATAGGGATAAATGTTTCTTAAATATCTGAGTGTGTTTGGTTGCATGTTCTTACTTGAAGGTGAGCGTCTGGCCGCAGAAGTATGTGGGAGCGTTGGAGTAGAGGATGGGATAGCGCGCCTGAGAGGAGTCGCTGCGCAGGGCGATGTTCTTCCTGCTGCTCAGGATGTAGCCCTCAGTGCCCGGACACCACTCTGTGAGTAAAAACACACAGACCACACCGGATTTTTTTTTTTAAAAGTAGGTTGCAAGGACTTTGTTTTTATTGTTTGACATTTTTGATTTAATATGTTTCATTTCAAACATTAAATAATACTTTAACGTTGAAAATACAATAAAACATTTGCCAATAAAAAGTTGTGAACGTATACAACTTCAGCAATGGAGAAGAAAGAATCCACTTGCTTGCGCAGTGTGACCCATATTACACACTAATCCATCAATATACATTGCAATCCAACTCTCGACCGGGTGCCCATCCCCACAGCTAAACCACTATATTCATCATTACTGTGATGGAAACATCTGAAGCCATGGAGACGAAACTCAGAGAAACACGGGGAGAGCTGGAACTTTGATGGCAAACACTGATGGTTTATTATGGAGTTAACGGCCGGAGAACTGACAAGACCTGTGCTGCTGCCACGAGGTGACACAACGGTTGCCAAACCAATTCTGAAGATCTCTACCCCAGACCCATGGATTTAGTTGGTTCTGAGAGAATTATCAACATGCTGCATAACAAGATAAAACAGGCAAAGCACTATAACACCTCTATCAGCTGACTCCAACAGGCAGGAACAGGGAGACAAAACACAGAGCACAGCACCCAAGGCTACAGGTGCCTGAGCTCAGTGAGGGCAGTACAAACTAATAAACTGGCTCAAAGTTATGGGCCTTGGAAAATATTTCCCCAACAATTACCATATACTGTACAAACAAATGTAGAATGTGAAAAAGACCAGAAATTAGATAAAACGACATTAACACCGTGTGGTGCTAATTGGTCCAAACACAACATTGCTTTGATGATAGTGTGTAGTTGTATTTAACTGTGTGTGTGTGACGTGTGTGTGTGTGTTCCTCGTATGAGTGCATTCATTCTCAACTTTTTGTACATTCTGATCAGACCACTCAATATGATGAAAAGTTTTACTTACAAAGTATACATGGGAGGGTTTTTTAAATATACAGATAGATTTATTAGATAAAGTTTTTCTAGTTGTACATTGAGCTGTACCCACCATGCGGTGCGAGGGTGGTGTATCCTGTCTGGGGGATGCTCCAGGGGCTCCACTCGGTGCGCCCCTCCCCACGGGCACACACCCTGAACTGGTAGTCGGTGTGGGGGTCGAGGTGCAGAACCAGGAACTCACAATCGCGACCGATGTACGCGTCCTCGAACTGACCCCCCCCGCTGCCGGAGCGCCGGTACTGCAGCCGATAATCTGCTGCTGCAAAGTCCTCATCCACCTGATGCCCACGGGAAATAATAAATACATTAACATCAACACGAATGGTAAAACAAATAGATCTACATTATAGGGCACAATATAGATACAAATATGAATATAAAATATATAAAAAAAGTCATCCATTAAGAGACACAAGAAATGTTACCATATCTTACCAACATTACCAGAAGCTACCAAAAATATTTTAAATAAATATTAAGTAAAACGTAAAGATAATACTGTAAAAATAAAGAATATCCATATACATTAGTAAATATCACAGTGCACAAAGGTAAAGACATAAGGGCTGCCAAGCAACAACAAAAAAGAATATTATGGTTTGTGAATAGTTCATCTAAATGAATGCATATATCAATATTTATCTTCACTTGTTTAAAGGGGGCATTACAAAAATAAAATAGGGAAGTTGTTTTTTTCCATTCATTATCCAGCTGCTGACTGGGAAGCTCATATATATTTAATTAATCAAAATCAACATGTTTATTTGATAGCCCCCTTATAAACATAATGATTTATTCATTATTACCCCTTCTAGAACAAACCTTGGCATATAAGCAGAGATGTGTTTGCAGGAAAGAACATTTG